GGAGATGAGCAAAACATCTATATAAGAGAATTGTGTATTGAAAAAAATAGCAGAAAACTACGTAAGTTTATTTTGTTAGATTTACAAAACCTCCAAATGCTATAGCAATTATGGGCAATGTGCTACAAAATAACTATTAAAATGCAAATAAAAAACAAAGAAAAATAGTCTTCTTAAAACAGTACTAGTAGTCCTCATTTAACCACCATTCATTCAGTGATCATTCAAAGTTATGCCATTTTTCTCTGGCATGTAGTTTGCTATACATTTTATATTGCTTTGGTTTTAATACACACACACTATTTATTAGTAGCAGTTGGTTACAGTCAGCAGTTGTTGGGCCCAGTATAGCTGACTCATCACTTTAGCATGATATTTCGTAGTGCTTATGAAAGTGGGAAACAACTCTGTAACTTCTGCATGCCTACTAATGGGCTTTTATTACATTTTTCTTCTAAAATGTAGAAGACTGTATGTAGGTGTGAGGACTCATTCATTCTCATTTAATTCTCTCTTCCAAGGGACAATACTATCAAAATATTCAGGCAGGCATATTCAACTCAATCATTATTGCTGCGAACACACCAGAATAGAATTACCATTCTAGTCTGAGAAACTTAATGTATGAGTAATTTAGGCTGCAAACAGAAGAAGCTATCCTAGTAACATGTCTTACCGTTAAGCAAAGTAGTTTTGCATTTATAATTTATATCTGCAGTAGTTAAATAAACATGAACAATTGTACTACTAGGCCAAATATTTGTTTTGATTGCCTTCAAAGTGAAAAAATGAAACTGCAGCAAAATGCAGACTGCTGGATGCATTACCATTCTTTGTGCTTCCAAGAAGACATTAGAATGGAACTCAGCTTTTTCCTTTTATGCCCAGTAAGACAGACATTATAACAAATTATTCTACTAAGCCATCCATGAATCACGGACCCAAGCAGCATTCCTATTGCAGCAACACCTGTGCTACAATGTTAGCAGTCTTGGGATTTCATCTAAGGTAGAACACTGAAGAAGAGCAAAGACTTCGAAATTTTAATTGGTATGTAATTGCCTTTTGCAGGCATTACAGGTAGTCTTCAATTTACAACCAGTGGTGAAATCCTACCGGTTCGCACCAGTATGGGAGAACCGGTAGTGATAAAAGGTACCAGTTCAGTGAACCAGTAGTAAAAAAAAAGGTACCGGTTGGTTCGAACCAGTATTTCCGATGATCAGCTGTGCCACGGGATTTAAAATCCTGCTTTCTAGTGAATCTAAATCGCACAGCACAGCTGTTTCCTCCCCCCCCTCGCTTGAACGGAGCACATGTTTGATGCGTACTGCACATGTGTGTGCATGCAGTGTGCATTTGGTACGCATTGAGCATGCAGCGTGTGTTTGGCATGCAATGCGTACTTGTGCAGCATTCATTTGGCATGCTTTGCGCATGCATGCGCGCAGTGTGCATTTGGCATGCACCATGCATACTGTTCTGCTCCAGCTCCTGAGTAGCCACTCCTGCCTTTTGGCAGCCCTGCGTGCTCGAGCATTGAGGACAGGCTCCTCCACTTCGCTATCTCCACTTGAAGGAGCCTCTGGAGGTTCTGAAGGCCCTGGCTGAGTCTCTGCCTCTGGCATCACATCCTCTTCAGCCTCCTCGCTGTCCGACGCGAGCGCCGGTTGCGCAGGCTGCTGACGCGATACACCAGCTTCCTCGTCCTCGGGATCAGCCACGATCCGCACAGGCTGCCACAACACATGTGTGGGCAGAAAACCAGGGAAGATTTCACCACTGCTTACAACCATTGTTTAGTGACTGGTGTAAGTTACAACACCACTTTAAAAAGTAACTTCTGACCATTTTTCACACTTACGACCGTTGCTGCATCCCCATGATCTTGTGATCAACATTAAGATGCTTGGCAACTGGCATGCATTTATGACACAATGTCCCAGGGTCATGTGATCACCTTTTGCAATCTTCTGACAAACAAAGTCAATGGGGAAGTTAGATTAATTTAATCATATTACTAATTTAACAACTGCAGTTATTTACTTAACAACTATGGCAGGAAAGGTCATAAAAATGGGAGAAAATTCACTTAACAACTGTCTTGTTTAGGAACAAAAATTTTGGGCTTATTTATAGTTGTAAGTCAACTCTACTATTAAATACAGCACATTAGTATTAGTATTAGTACACAGTTTTGTATTTGTAGGTTTATATTCTGATTTGTTTATGTATTGTGTTTTTCTGTCTTTATAGAATTTTAATAAAGTGTATATATAAAAATAAAAATGTGGAATAATACTGGCCCCAAGACAGCTTTCTGCACGACCCCTCTCATTAAGCTCTCCAACTCAATGTAGAAACATTAATACCAAATCTCTGGGCAGTTAGTTATAGATTCACCTGTCTGCAGTGCCATTTGAACTTAAGCCACACTTAACAGCTTTCAAAAATGTTCCTATTGTCTACTAAAGTGGTTACCTTGTCAAAGAAGGAGATAAGATTTGTCTTACATGTTCTATTTTTGAGAATTTTTTAAATCTATTGTTGACTCTTAGCAATCATAGTACAGGTAGTCCTTGATTTATGACCACAATTGAGCCCAAAGTTTATGTTGCTAAGTGAAAAATTTGTTAAGTGAGTTTTGCCACATTTTACGAATTTTCTTGTCACATTTGTTAACTGAATCACTGCAGTTGTTAAATCAGTAACGTGGTGATTAAGTGAATTGGGTTTCCCCATTGACTTTGCATGTCAGAAGGGTGCAAAAGGTGATGACATGAGCCCCGGACACTGCAACCATCATAAATATGAGTTAGTTGTCAAGCATCCAAATATAAATCACGTGACCATGGGGATGCTGCAATGGTCATATGTGAAAAACGATCACAAGTCACTTTTTCAGTGTCATTGTAACTTCAAATGGTCATTAAATGAACTGTTGTAAGTTGAGGACTACCTGTACTATCTTCAAAATACTTAGAAAGGGAGACTTTTATTATCTTTTTGAACTTCTTTCGAGGTATGCATATTAGGGTTATCAGTAGATAATTACTAATAGAGAGCGAGATGGAGGGAGGGAGGGAGGGGAGAGAGAGAGAGGAGAGAGAGAGGGAGGGAGGGAGGGAGGGAGAGAGAGAGACAGAGAGAGAGACAGAGAGAGAGACAGAGAGAGAGAGATCTAGTTCTCCAAAATTCCTTATTTGTAGTTGAAAGAATTGGAATTGATACCTTAAAGGCCCAAGCTATATAGAATAGGTCAACCACAGTGGGTAAATCTTCTTTTTTGGCAAAAAAGCCAGACTTCAGTTCCACACCTACTATCTGACTGCTGGAGCCATGAAAGGAAATCAAAGCTTCTGGATGCTATCTTCAGTGCCCAACCTTCTCAGGGAGACACTATGGTCAAACTAGTAGGCCTATGCTTCCCTTTTTCAGTTTCCTTCTTGGATCATCCGTGACACAACCAAAGCAGTCCCAGCTCTGAATTATGCCCAAAACCCAAATGAAATATGCCTTGTTTCATAGCATTTACATAATGCTAAACGTAAAGTAAGAACCGTGCAAGTTTCTTGTTTTAAAACAATCGATATAAATTTAAAAATGCTTTAAGTAGTAAGCCTGGAATCCTAATATGAGAAGAGAACACATTTATCTCTACTGAGAGTGCACGTTCCATCCCAAAACATGGCTGCAGGCCTCAGAGCTATTTCATAATTGCTGCATTGAATATGCGCAGAAGAGTAATAGTAACTATATTTTAGCAATTTAACTTCAATATCCAAGTTAATTCGTATCTATTCCAATTCCACCCAATTCTTAATCTGTACTGTTCACTTTATAGAATGCAGCCCCCATATATCTCACTCAAAAACCAAATGCATCTCTCAGCCAGAAAAGGTTCTGCCCCGCTGATATATATAATGCAGTTATTTGAATAGACTTTTTTATCCCCAGTTTCAGGCATCTACAAGCCTCACCAGAGTGTATCATTATTGGCAAGTGAATGTTGGTGTCCTTGTTCTCCCTTCCCCTTTTTGCTTCCCCTATTGATTAATTTGAGGCTGTATCATACTTCTTGTTTAAGGGTTCACTGCATATTTGTTGATTGATACACAATTGTTGCTTAAATGAAATCCTATTGTCATTGCACAAATACAGGCATTAGTAAAAAGTGTAGTTTTGGAGATCATTTGTGTATTCAGCACATCCTTTTGCGACTGTTGAATGCTACTTTTGTGTTGTTTGCATACAGGAAAATATACTCGCCTGGTTGCTATGGGAACCCCATTGATCTTATGTTAACAAGCTTAATACTAGATCAGTGTCACTATTCACAACAAAAGTTTATAGTGGCATATAATCTCTATATCCCATGTTTCTGCTTTATTAGATAATTTTTATCTACTGCAGAGTTCTCTGACTCATCTTTAATGAGGAAATTGTGATTTACTGTATGGTTAGGGAACATTGTATAGGCTTTCACTTGTGCTGCATGGGTAGAAGAAACTAATTTTTCTCAATGCACCCTAGAGTCAGATTTTAGAAGATGCTTATACTGAATAAATCTGGACTACAATGTATCCATACTTTGAAATGGATGAACAGTGGAGACATAGTACTACAGTACTTTTAACCAATATAAATCCTAATGGTATTTTTGCTACAAGTTTGATCACTGCTCCCTTAATGGCTTTCTGCAATTTTGGTGTTTTAATTACCCTCAATAGTTGACAAAGAGAAGGAATTATTATGAATTGTGCAAAATATTTTGCATATTCCATATAGAATTTGTATAGCAAATCTGAACAGCAAAATGACTCTGGATCTATTAAATCTTTAATATTTATTATGAATCTGTCTTCCTGTATTGATATAAACCAATTTTGTTTTCTCCCAATATCTCTGAATTCAGACTCTGCAAATTTTACATAATGTTTTAATAGCTGTCTGTATTTTAGTTGCCCATGTGAAACTTTTTGTTTGTTTTTTCATTTCAGATTACAGTATTTCGCATGGGGTCAGAAGGACACCAGGATATTGATCTGGCCATCTTGACAGCTTTGTTAAAAGGTAACGTAATTGTTTGCCTCAACAAGCCTATATTAAATCTACACAGCAAACTCTTACAAATAATTAAACCAGTTTTAGTCTGTTCTAAATTCTATTGTTGGTGAGTTACACCATTATTTGACGTAACCCACCAACAATAGAATTTAGAACAGACTAAAACTGGTTTAATAGCAAAGCACCTATTTTGCAGTAGCTTCATTGATTGCCAATACTCTTCTGGGACTCATTCAAGATGATTCAATAAAGATTAACGATTATAAAGATCTATGTGACCTGGGCTACCTTTAGGGCCTTTTGCTGCAAATATAATAAGTCCTTTCAGTAGAGAGGACTGGGGCCTATAGGACAACCTTCTCAACAGCAGCCCACTCCCTTTGGGATACTTAATAGCCCAAGATCAGAAAGGATCCCATCTTTTTTTGTTATTCAGAAAATAAGTCCAAACTTGTTGAAGTTTTCAAATGGAGAGGCCTCAGTAGCACATTATCAATGTAATCTGTGTTCTAATTTTGTAAAGCTTTTACACTTTCTAATTTTTATTGTTTTCAGCTGCCTGGAGTCTAATAAATAAATATAGTATTATAAAATATGTAGGAATCCAAATTTTGCTTTAAAACATCATAGTCTTATAAAGGTTCCTTTTTTACATCTATACTTTTCTTCAAAGAGAATGTCAAGGGGAATAAGTTAAAGGCTGAATAGCTTTGTTTGAAATCCAGTGAATGTTTGATAATCGAAAATGTGATTTTATAGGTAATTTGTACCAAATTCTAAATGAATATAATCCAGGGGAAATATATTCTTCTAGAAGGCATGAATGGATGTTTTGGAACAAGGTGAAAGTACAGAAAACTGCCCACCATGAGTGAGAATTCTCATGGTTTGATATATGTCTGGAAAACATTCTTATATCTTCAGTAGTGCCTTAAAACATGACAGAGGTGTGAATATAAATCTAAAATGATGATTTACTTGATGGCTTATGATATATTGAAAAATTGAAGAAAATAGAATCTGGAAGCTGCGTGGAAGAGAGTAAAATGTTATGGAATGCCACAGAAGTATGTATAGTTATTCTAATGGGATGCTTGGTGCAATGCTGAAGTAAAAGTGAAAAAGTAAAAGAAAAGGTTTTACCAAATGAGTGCTATTGGTAACATTAATATTGCCCCTATCTTCTGAAGTTGCATCTATACATTTAGACATTCTTAATTCAATTTATGTTATGTTTTTAAAAAGATATAATTAGAGATTTTTTGTTAAAATCTGGGGGGGGCGGGGTGTTTCTGGAAAGGATGCAGAACACAGCTGTTTCACAAAAGGTTTGTTATTTTAGTTGCTGCTTTTTTCCCCTAGTCCTTTCATCTGTATGATTTGTAGGACAGTCCAAATTTTTCTACTGTATGAAATGTTGGAAGAAGCACAGTGGATGATATACAATATGTTCATTTCCATAAGTGCTACCTCATCCAAGTTGTGTTCATTGAAGCATATTGCTATGATTACCTGACTCTGATGTTTTTGGTTTCTTCTAGCTTGTTAATGTATCGTGACTCATGCTCACAAAGCATTTGTCCTGCAGCTCTGGACCAACATTGCTACTATTCTCTAGCCTGATGCATAGGACAATGCATGTCAACCATGAAATGATTATAATTCAATTTCATTTGATTTGAAACAAAAATGCTGGAGTAAGCTTAGTAACATGTTGTATTGAGAGATGTGCAATTCGTGAATGCCATTTCTGTGCAAGGTGTTCGGAGCAGCAAATAGGGCATTTCCTCTCTCTCTCTCACACACACACACACACACACACACAAACACACACACCTGAAAGAGGCCAACTAGAAAACAGATTTGTTGATAGATTGGGCATAAGGTATTCTTGAAGATTTCCTTGCTTTTTTTATTTATTTATTTATTTAAATAGCTTATTTTATCCATAGAATTTCCAGGGGATACTATGAAATATACACTCATGCATACACTTTGTCTGTGTATACAAAGACAAAGGCTTCCATGTGATCCAGCATTTTTAACATATTAATGAAGCAGTGTTTTGCTGCAGTGATACAAGTTCTTCCTGTCATGGTGCAATCTCCACTACAATACAACTACAAGAAATTGTTGAGATTGTCACAAAGGTGTTTTTCAGGAGGCAACTGGACTTTCTTGTTTTTTCTTTGAAGACGTTTTACTTCTCATCGAAGAAGCTTCAGCTCTGACTGGATGGTGGGGAAATGGAAGGATTTATATTCCTTGCAAGTAGATGGTCACCTGCATCCTTTTAAATTTAGAGGGTCGTTGAAGCACTTGGAGGTTTATCTGTCCTCAAGGTCACCCGAATAGGCCAAATGGTTCCTGTAGTCTGCAATTTTTTTTTTCTGGAAATTGGTTCATATTCCCACACCATTCGAAGGGTGTTCATCCCAAATTGCATAACTAAAAGTCTGTAGAGATTCTCAGTCACCCATGTCATGGTTGTCCCAAACTGAACTGTCTTGTTGTTGTTTTTTTGAAGATGTTTCACTTCTCATCCAAGAAGTTTCTTCAGCTCTGACTGAATGGTGGCATTAGCACCACTCAGGTGATCCTGAGGACGCAGATAAACCTCCAAGTGCTTCAATGACCCTCTAAAAGGATGCAGATGACCACCTGTCTGCAAGAAATATAAATCCTTCCATTCCTCACCATCCAGTCAGAGCTGAAGAAGCTTCTTGGATGAGAAGTGAAAGAAAAAACAAGAAAGTCCAGTTGCCTTCTGAAAAAGCACCTTTGGGACAACCATGACCTGGATGACTGAGAATCTCTACAGACTTTTTTAGATTGTGTAACATCAACAAAATGCTGCTTCTATCATTTGGTTTCCCTTGATCCTTGCTAAGGTTGCTTCTCTGCACAGAAATAAATATATATTCTTGCTATGTATCGAATAGATTCTAGAAAAAAGTTAGTAAGCATTTGTTATTATTGAGAAATTGTAATGTTTAGGATGATGTTTTCAAATTTTTAACTGAATCCAAATAAATTTGACCCCAATGAATCTAGATAACAAGAGTGTCCAGAATGTTTTTCCTCTATACTTTTGCAAAACAAGAACGTTTTATTATTATCTGTTGTCATCTATCTAGCTGGAATGTCAGGACTTAAAGGAGAGATCAGTTTAACTACGGTATATCTGTACAATCTGGACATTTAATGGAAACATGCAGCAACAGAGATATTGCTGTGCTCCGATATAACATTGGCATGATGCAAATCCACTGGAGAGTCACAAGACAGCTTTCTAACTCAGACAGACAAGAAGGGAGTATCCTAGCAACAACAAAAAAACCGTGTGATGAATCTCAGAACCATTTCTCTGCCTTGATCAGGTTTTACTCCCCTTGAAATGAGAATATAAAATAGAGAATTCACCTCCTGCCCAACAGTGTTTGCAGTGGATTGATTAATATGAAGAGACAAAATAATGTAGTAATGATATGTATAAAATCATGCTGCATCAACTGTAACCCAGAAATCTTAAATCAGAGTAGTATGTTCAAATTATATAAAGAAAAAACAAAACCTGTTCCCTTCATTTTTTAATAAAAAGGTTCCAAGACTTTTCCCCCCAGAATTTAGAGACCTAGGCAAGGAAGGGAAAAAGGAAAAGAGAGGCTGATACTACTGCTCGATCCAGAGATATAGAAAATTGCTTCCCAGAATATAAAATGCACTTATTTGTGTTCACACATTAAGTTAACCATTTGGGGTTTTTTTGTTTTGGCTTGGCATGATATACTAACCTAGCCATTACATTTATTAACTATGCTTTGTGCTTTCCCAAAAGACCATTGTTTAAAAAACAGTGCTTTGGCACCACATATGAAACCAGTAATTATTTAATTCAGCTGACATTTTTCATTGTAGCTTCCTCTTTATATTAAAGATGATCAGATTTCATAAACTTTCATAGAGAGCATTAAACACATACAATATTATCCTCAGCAGGTTCACAGGCAAATACCCACTGAATCAGAGTTGGGTATTTCAGATAAAACATAAACATATATGACTGCTAAAGTATACAAAATGAGGCTTGTAAGATTAAAATCTGTATCGAATTGCCACAGATTTTATTATACAATACTATTTTCTCATTTTTTTAATAATTTAGCTGCCCTGGACAATTCAAGCAACCACTTTAGGATGTTTTCTTCCTTGTTACAAGATCTGTTGATCTAATTTTAAAAAATGTGTTACATTATATCTAATATATTCATTCATTCATTCACATGCTTTGTGGTGCAGCAATCTAATCCAAACCTTTGATAAAGGCCATTGAAGAGCTACAGTTGCATTGGAAATCTCATTACAGCTCAGTGACTGATATTGTATCTGCATCAATACTCATGTCACTTTTCATTTTACTTTACTTTTGAATCTTTCACTGACCTGAAATAATATTATATATTTCTTACATGCTTCTTCTTCCTGAATTACAGAATACACTTTGTTTTGTTTCTTTCTGCCAATACTGTTCAGTTACTCTCTAGTATGCATATATATGTTAAGTTCCAAACACATATAATACAGTTTATTAAATTAAAATAAATAAAGCTCTAAAAGATTATTTTTTTCTGGAAAGCTTTTGTGAGACAAATTCTGTAAGACAAGTTTTTTGCTTTGTTAACAAAATCCCAGCAAATTATCTTCCTAAAAAAAAAAAAAAAATCATATATATAGTCCTTCTTTAGCAACCCTTTGCAATTATGATAGTGATGAAAAAGAAAACCAATCCTTCCTTTTGTGACCTTCACAGGTCTGTTAAAGCAAAGGAAAACTGAAGTCAGATCCTAAGCACATTTGCAATTTGAGTCAGCAACCACTTCTCTTAATGACCGATCTCAGTTATAAAGCATTTTTTTTTACAATGCCCAGGAAATGTTCCAGTTTCCACGGATTGCCGTTTTAAAAGCCATCCTATTCTGGCTTTTAATTTTTAAAACAGAAACAATTGTATCCTTTAGTTATTTCTGGTTAGTCTTCTGCACAGGTAATCCTCAACTTACAACAGTTCGTTTAGTGACTGTTTGAAGTTACAACAGCACTGAAAAGAGTGACTCATGTTTTTACACCTATGATCATTGCAGCATCCCCATGGTCAAGTGATCAAAATTCAGATGCTTGGCAACTGACTCATATTTATGACGGTTGTCCCGGAATCATGTGAACCCCTTTTGCGACCTTTTGACGAGCAAAGTCAATGGAAAAGCCAGATTAATTTAACGGTCGTGTTATTAATTTAACAATTGCAATTATTTATTTAACAACTGTGCCAAGAAAGGTCGTAAAATGGGGCAAAACTCATTTAACAACTGTCTCGCTTAGCAACAGAAATTTTGGGCTCAATTGTGGTTGTAAGTTGAGGACTACCTGTATTGTGTTTTTAAAAGGAATGGAATTGCAAGGACAGAGATTGGCAACATAGGAACCACAGATCCCAGGCTTGGGAGGACTGCCATGTCAGCATAGTCAGCTGCCTCCAGTGGCCTTGAAAAGGACAGCAAAAATGGCCACTGACGTGATCATTGGAAAGGCAGAAAATAACCTATAATTTAAAATGTTATATAAGCTTTGTTCTCTGTATACATAGTAGACAATTTCTTCAATTGTATAAAATAACTAAAAAAACTAAGTTATGTCCGTTAGCTTCCTTCTGACTAAACAAACTCCTGAGTTTAGCATCTGAGAGGAATATACAAAAGAGACCTCTGAGAGATTCTTTTAACATTAGATTAATCTAGCAAGCAAAATTAATACAAGCTTCTATACCACATCTCCTCAGTTGTAAGATAGTTCTGCTTCTGTTACCCTGCTTTTTGAGAAAGGGGTTCCAGATTTTTTCCCCTTAAATCTGCATATATAAACCCTAGCTTATCAAAGTTAGAAAAAAAGGAATTCGTTAATTACTATTTTCTTGTTACAACAAGACCTTTAATTTATAATCTTAATTTTCCAAAATATTCAGGCATCCTGCTTTATTTAAATATCTTGAACTAGATTTCTAACTTCAGCAAGAAAATTGTATAAATATCATTGTAATAACTCTCATTTGGACCATACAGTATGTCTACTTTCTTTCCTTTTATTTCTCATGACGGTCTGTTTTGCCACTGACTGTGTTGAATTAATTAAATATTGGTATTCTTCTCAATTTCTACAGGAGCGAATGCCTCTGCTCCAGATCAACTGAGTTTGGCATTAGCTTGGAACAGGGTAGACATTGCTCGCAGCCAGATTTTTATTTATGGACAACAGTGGCCGGTACGGTATCTATATGGTTATCAAATACTTTTCCAGTTGAGCATGGTTATTTTCATGGGGGAGAAGAGGGAGGGAGAGAGAGATTCTGGAACATAATGTAATCATAATACATTACATTGTCGTGTAATCATAATAAAGATGTCTGTAATTTTTCTTGTAGGAAATAGTGTCATCTAGTGGAGCTGTTTAAAATACAGCATAACCAATTGTTCTTTATTTTGTAGAAATAAGGACAAATATATTTATTGTGGCTTAAGCTTTCAGACACCATAGTCTGACTCTTGAGATGCCTGAAATGTCATATTATGCATTTTTGTTCTCTCTCGATATATATTTTGAGAGGCTCTGTTCCAGTTCAGCAACTCCAGATAACGAAACCTCAAATAATAAGGTTGAAAAAATGTTTTTGCCCACCAGTAATTTTGCACATGTGTAAAGATATGCCGCAGATATACAAATACAAATAGTAATGGAGCAGATGCAATTCAGATATAGAGTCTTCAGTTGTTCAGAAAATTCAACAATTTCCATCTCAGCTTCTGTGTCAGAGGAAAAAAAGCTGAAAATGTGGGAGGAATGAATAGCATTTCTGAGTATTATGGAAGGGAAACATAATGACTTCAGATAGGGAAATTAATGGAAAGTTGTTGAATAGGTTGGGATAGATGGACCTGGAGGAGGATTAGTGACAGAAAGGGCAATTGTCTTCAGTAAGAAGGCTAGCTGTATATGTGATCATTTCCACATAAGCTGGAATTCAGAACTGTCCAATGGAACCATTGTTATGTGTGAAGGCTCTCTGCCACAGACAATCATATTGTAATGTGGAGACCGTAATTTCACTTATGTCACCAGCACAACTAGGAAAAGGCAAGTGCTCTTCACTGCTTATTCCATTTTGACTGAATACACTATGGTAAATCCTGAACAGAGCCACAGATAAACAAGTATTGTTGAGAATATAATGAATTCCCAAATGAAATTTTTCAACTCATGAGAACTTTTGATAAATTCCATGGTAAATCTAGCATACTTGAATTTCCAAAACCATTCCGCAAAGTTTGACCAAGAGAATATGTCCTCTCACAATTGATAAAACTGAAGAACAGAAAATGGAGGATACTGAACAATTCTTCCAGTGGAGAAGTGCAAGCTTTAAGAGTCACTCAATATTTTTTACTGGGGTTAGTGTGTTTAATGATAAATGATACCAGTTGGTAAAAACTGACAGGAGATATCCACAACAAGAGAATAGAAGTAAAAAGAACATCCCAAAATTGTATTGAAAAAGAATGTTATGTGGAACCCGTTTTTTAAATGATAGGAAAATGAAAAATATTTTCCTTTTTGTATGAACATTCTCCACTGATCACAAGGTCTCCCTGATTAAGCTATTTCCTTTTTAGGTGGGGTCCCTTGAACAGGCAATGTTGGATGCCCTGGTGTTAGACAGAGTGGATTTTGTGAAGTTACTCATAGAAAATGGAGTAAGCATGCATCGTTTTCTCACCCTCTCCAGACTAGAAGAGCTGTATAATACGGTAGGGGTCCTATTTGTTTATTTAATTCTCTTCAAGCCCTAGCATGAAGCCCAGAAATTCATCCAATTTCTTCATTCCCGAAATAATGCTTGCCTTCCTTAAAGTGTTCCTGTAACAAAATCTCATAATGTTTTGCCTGCTTATTCTTTTATTAAAGCCTAATACAACTGTATACTATGCTTTAAAAAAACCTATCTGTACCCTTTTATAGTTTGGATTCTGTTAAAAATAATTTGCTCCCAAGATGAATTGCTTTTTTAAAAAAAATGCCATTTTCAAAACACCACTGAACTGGCTAGGCTAAAGCAGACCATTTCAACTGTGCTATTTGGTTCCTATTATTTCTCAGGGAATATCAGCTGCCTTCTCAAAATAATAAAACTTTCACTTACCAGCAGGCTGTAACTCATGTATTTCACTTAAAAGATGAGCAAAAATTCAATAGACAGCCATTTTCCTCATACAGCCAGAAAAAATAATGCTGCCTATTGAATTTTTGCTTGATTTTCATTTATTAATAGTGGGGAATAATAATGGTAATCTAAAGTCTATCTCAGGCTGCATGGGTGGTATAATATTAAGGACATATGGTAATTATTCTAACTCTGCAGAGGTCAGTATACATTGCCTCCTGCTCTGTTTTCTTAATCACTCCCCAACATTAACTCATTTTAAAAAATCAAGAATTGCCCATTTACCCTCCTCTGATTTATCCACTGGTACCATCTATTCCATATTGTAAAATATTTTGAGTCCTCCTTATCCTGGGTAAATGGGTAGAGATGAAATTTAGAGGAAATTAACATAATTAAAAACTGCCCTGTCAGATAGATAGAAAATGAAATATGTCACTGTAGGTTTGTATATATGTATATATAATAATAGAAATTAGTTAGTAGTTGAAGTTGTGTATTGTATATGTATATGTAAATTTGTTTCTTGATTAAGTTAACTTTTAACTTAATCAAGCTTTTGTATGTTTTAAATGTTTTTAAGAATGAATAAAGTTTTGTTTTTAAAACCAAAAAATAAATAAATCAAGAATTGCATGATTTGGTAATCTCTATATAAGGCATACATCATACATCATACTTAAATTTCATGAGATGGTTAAAGGCCATTAGTACTATTTGTCCATGACTCAATTTTCACCTAGTAGTAAATGTTTGAAGAACTGCAGTTTAGTACCTTTTGATCCACATTAAAATGTTGGATTAAGTCTACTTCTATCTCCGCTCATTTGGAGCATCTTTCTAAAAATTAATATACTGCAACTAAGTCTTTTCATATGGAAGGAGAACACTTGAATCAAAAGAAGAGAATATTTATAGCTAGGTAACATTATGAGTGCAAGAAGGGAGTGGGGTTTGCTCTCTGTATATAAACGTAGAGCAAACCTTACTCCCTACTAGCACTGATAATGTTGCCTAGTTGGGTAATGACACATTTGCAAGAAAATAACAAAGCTCAACCCTAAGCTACAAATATTCTCTTCTTTTGATTCAAGTGTTTTGTTAGACATTAAGAAACTACACAGTTGTCACATTCAGTACTTTGGGTGTTATGCGCTTTTTAGTTGGACTCTCTGTCCTTTAATCCAAATAACTTCTTCAGATACATCAGAACTATTAAGCTGTTTGTTGTGATCCTTTTCAGAGACATGGGCCATCCAACACTTTGTATCACCTTGTCAGAGATGTCAAAAAGGTAAGAGTCCGAAGGTGGACAGTAATATGAAGGTAATATTGTAGCTGCTTCTTGTCATTAGAGACAGCCTCTGTTTTGCATGGGCTACCAACAAGAGCTTTCTTCCACCTTCAGCCATTGCAGTTGTGCAGTATGTGTTCGTAATGATTCTCAGCCTTGTGTACAGTACAGTTAACTATTTAGTGGCTGCTAGTGGTTACTTTAGACGCTTTAGGCATACTGCTTCTGCTAGTGGACTGTAGGTGTTTTTCATGTGATGTGGATTTATGCAATAGATGTATTTTAATAGCCATCAGTGTTATGAATGCTGATTTCCATATTGTGGGCCAGTGTTGGACATTGCAATATATATTATTGTTGTGCTGGATCTTGAATCATTGCATTATTTTCAGCTTTGTTAAGTGCTATTTTTTTTATAAAGCCCGCTATCTTTTTGAAATAGTAAGGTTAAAAAGAAAACAGTTTAGATATAACTCAGTTTGTGTGACTGAAGTTACTTAAAGGAACTGGTGGAAAGAGAGTGTGCTTTTTTATCAATATGTCTTGGATCCTATTCAATCATATTCCATCTCTTGCATGATTAGCAGCAGAGTGAAGAAGAGAGTGAAAAGAAACTTGTTGGCCCTACAGGTTTTGGTTGCAATTCTTACAGCTTCTTCATGCCTTTATGTTGGATGATTATTTTCTTCATGGAGATACAATGATATAAATTAAACCCCAACTTTAAAGTGGTATAAGAAAGTCTCACCTCTATCTGTCCATAAGAATAATCGTGGGAAGAACCAGAGCATAACATTAGCTAAATAAAACCTTATCCCCGAAATTTTCTTTTTGCTGGCAAAACTATAAATTGATTATTTATAAATTGGGAGGAAGGGGGAAATAGGTACTAAAACAGGTGAACTTAATATCTATTGCCTAGTGGGTGCCTATGTACTTGATCACAGTCTTATAATCATCTGGACCATGCATAAAATCCAAAGACCATCAGGTATAAATTTACATATTTGTAGATTTCAGTTTTAAGGCAATTTCGCCTTAAAACATAAATGTCCAGAGAATGAGAAAAATATAGATTTAAAATGGGTTGCCCTTTAAGCATTTGTAAAACAAAAATACAGAGACAGAGTTTCCAACAAAATGTTTAAAGAATTTTAAATCATAAGTAACTCAGAAGTTTGAGGAAAAAAATTGAAATGTTTGAATATGCTTGGAAGCAGGAGAAAAACTTTTTGAGAACTTATTTTACACTTGTTACTTCATTTAATTTTGGAGAACCAGGCCAACATTTTTTCAATAACAGAGCTAACTGTCTATTGGGACAATAACAGAACTTTTTACAACTAAAAATGTCATAAATATGCAGCACAGTGCTGCCTAATTCAAAATCAGGGATTAATTTAATTCAAGCTTTTTGCTTCTCTGTTCATTTTGTATGAATATCTCACACACATACACACACACACACACACATATATTCACTTCATAAATAATGAAGAAGTAAAATGTTATGCTACAAGATATTAGATGATTCCTGTAGACCTTAGCTGATAACATTTCATTCTCTTCAGTTTCTGAATCTATCAACAAATCTGACATCAATTTAAATGAAATGGCATTTTAGAAAATAACTTCTTAATGCAACATATCATTATGTTGACAGCACAATGTTTCACTGCCCATGACAGAGACAGATGACGGTCTAAAGCAACTTATCTCATTCTGACAAATTTTTATTTCCCATAGCTTAACATCAGTTTTATTGAAACCCTTTAAGATCAAATAAATATTTGTTAAAATGAAGTACTTTGTAAGTATTAACCAGAGAAATAAATTATATTCACTTTATTCTGCTGAAGAGCAGTTTAATATTAAGACTGAAAAATACTTTTAGTATGTGCATTCCTGGCACCTTTATAATACTTGAAAATTAAACAGCTAAATATAAAGCAGAATGTGAGCACATTTAAAGTTGCATATGAAAAATTCCAAAACATACTCTTGTGGTTATGTAGCAGTTATATATTTTAAGTAACAAAATCCAGTTTTTCTCAATAGTATAAAAGTGCAGTGTGAGAAGAACCTAATACTGGAGATAGTCTTTGCCCCAATTATGTTAAGGAAAATCATTTCTTTCTCATTGTAAAGGGTGCAAAGAGAATACCTTTCAAGTAACCATAAAAATAATTTTGCTTGCATGCAAGGAAAGGGAAGTTAGCAAAAATAGCAAAATTATGCACTTTTCCTTATATTAAAAGACTTTAAAAGTGATAACAGTGAAAGATCATGGATAATTCTTGAATTCCAGTTCTAAATAAATGTATGCTCTAATGAGTTTATGGAAAAGAATGGACAATGTGGCCTTTTCACCTCTTTTATTTAGTTAATAAAAGCCATTTCTCCTATATTTGAAATCAAGGGCACTGACAACAAGTCATTAGTCAGAAAAGTGTTTGGCCTATAATGACTACTTTTTTGCCAAATTTGATGTTTAATGATTACTCAAATAACAAAAGGAAAACATGTTGGGAACTTTGATGGCTAAAGAGTGCCCTCTAGCGTTCATATAGTAAACATTTCTACCCTTTTTTCCCCCTCTCTCTTACTAGGTATATATTTATACCTTTATGATTAATTCATGACCAGTAGGCTGTATCTATGCGTTATGATTATGCTCAAAATTAAGCATCTGTAGAAAAGGTGTCACTTTCTGGATTTCTAACAATTATTCTTTAGTCCTAAGCATGTCAGTTTAAAAGGAGAGAGCCATTGAGTAGAAATTGCTTTTCAAACAAAGCAATAAAGTTCTTAAATAATGAAATGTTATTACGATCAACATAATCAGGCTATACTTTAAAAGGTTTTAGAAAAAGGAATTATTCTTGGGTTTTTCTAGAAGAAACAAAACTACAATTAAGCCTTACAATCGGAGTCATAAAAAATATCATAGAAATATTTCACTTTCATTGGGTATTCAGACATTATTCGAATAGGTTTGAATGGCTTCTAATCTAGAAAAAAACAGAAGAATGATTCTCAGTTTGTAGCTAGCAGATTGATACCTGAGTAGAATAAAATTTAGTAAAAATACCAATAGATTGTATAATCATTTAAAATATTTGGAATCAAAAACTTTATTTTATGTTCATGTTATTTTAATTGGCAATAGACCAGATTATATAAATTTGATCCAAACATCTTTAAAACCAGTAAAATTAATAGCTCATAATATACTGTAAATCCTAAATAAGTAATATAGGCATGATTACAGTAATCTCAAAATGGCATTTTGTGTTTATTTACTAGGCGTATAAAGTGCGGGCTACATCAACTATACTATCATTCTTAAAGCAATATATTTATTTAGACACGACAAATAAGCAAGTGCAAGATTTTGTATATACAACAGTAGGCCTATGCTTTCTATATATGGGGGTGGGTGGATTGTAAACTGTTTTTGCATTACAGTAATAACATAGAAACATGTCCTTTTTAATATTAGGAGAATTGAAAGTCAGTGGAGCAAGATCTGAGAAATGGCTTATGAGGTAAATTCATTATTTGGCCCACTCAGTGCTAAGTAATGAGGTAACAGATGAATTTTGGCATTAAATGACAGATGATATATGAAAATAATTAGATATAACTTAAATCAACTTTTATTTAAATGAGGAGAACACATTGGAATCTCCAAAAAACATTGAGGACAAATTCACTGTCATATAGATTTGTCTCTAAAAAGTGAAAATTAATTCTTCTGCACACACCTTTTCTAGATATCAGATGTTATTTCACTGTGATTACAGCCAAATATATTTCCTTTTTGGAAGATGCAAGACTACATAGCAAAAAAATCAGTAACCAAAACTTCAAGTGAAAGAATTTTAATTCCTGCAGGCTGGTAGATATAAGAATTTTTCACTTTTTAATTGTCAACCATGTGTACGAAGACAGTTTTGGTGTTTTAGGAAATAAAAGTGAAAGTATTAATTAAAGAATCACAGGAAGGAGACTTCTGCTAAATATTTAATATTCAGTATTTAATATTTATTTAATATTAATTAATTAATATTAATAAATATTTAATATTCAATAAAAGAGCAACATTTCTGATTAAAGCATTCAGCATCTATTTATGATAAAGTTGCCTTCCTGTCCCAGGAGTAAGTTTGGAAAAGACATTCTTAAAAGTGTGATAGAAGCAGGAAGACACCCAACCCCAAGCCATTTGCCAGAGCATAAACATATTCCTCAGGATATAAGACTGTTGTATGGCTTATTTGGGACACCACCAGGTTCCAGCAAATACGTAGAGTTTCTGTAAAATGCTTTGCCTTCATGCTTTCCTTGTTCTGCAGTAGTGTATCCTGCTTTTCTTCTCAGAATAGCCTAAATCCTGTGTTCTGAAACTTATTATCTTCTATTACTGCTATCTTTTAACACATTTTCTTACGTAATTTATGTCTTTTTTCCAAGCGCGAATATCCAGGTTTCGGTTGGATCTATTTTAAGGTGAATTAATTAATAAGCATAATAATATGTTATGTTTCATTTAAATCTCTCATACTTATAAAAAAATGTGTGTAATAGACTTAATAATCAGTTGTATCTTCCCCCCTCCCTTGTTTTGTGTGTCTTTTATTCTATTGGAAAAAAATAGGGAAACCTACCACCAGACTATAGGATAAGTCTAATTGATATTGGCCTGGTGATTGAGTACCTGATGGGAGGAGCTTATCGCTGTAATTATACTCGAAAACGCTTCCGAACACTCTATCACAACTTATTTGGCCCCAAGAGAGTAAGGACTGTTATTATTGAGTTTTTTAAACCTGTTTCATAAAAAGTAAATTTAATGAAGTGGGTTGACAAGTGATCAAGTCAAAGGTGACTTAGTTAGATGACATTACTAGGCCTTTGGATACATCTTGAACATTGAAAAACTGTTATGGGCACCGCCGTACAATGTTTCTGGGCTGAGCCAGTTACTTCAGTACAAGAAAATGGTGTGTTCTGAGCTCATTCTGTGAACAAATTCCTTCTTTTGAATACACTTACTCAAAGGTCATTCCTTCCCTAAATTCTAAACCTTTAGATTCTAAAGTCATCACCACCTCCCTGCTCTAACATACACTTAAATTATTTACTTCTGTTACATACCCTGTTTCATTCTCAACTCATAGTATAGACCAAAGACACAATCTGTAACAAAAATATATTTCTTTCCTGTCCTCTCTTTTATTTGTTTGTTGAATTGATTGATATCTCTCCTTTCACTCAGGAACCACAAGTATACATGTGTTTTTCTCCATAACAACAACCCTGTGAAGTAGGCTGATCTGAGATTCAACTTCAGTTCCTCCCTCCTCCATCTCGCATGTCAAGAAATTCCTCAGCTTGTTCTTTCTCCCTGCTTCCTCTACTCTTTTCATAAAATAGCCTTAGAGGAGTGCAAAAATAACCTTGAGACAATATGCACCAATCACTGTGAAAACATCACTTTAGGCATAGGAGGAATAAATTCCCAGGAATGGGAGGAGGAAGTGAGAAATAAACTCAAGGATGATCCGCCTTGAGTTTTTTGGGTGTAAGAAGGAGGGAAAGGGGAAATTTGGCAGGCTTTCAAATTTCTGCTTTATCTCCTATAATAATAAAGCAGAGTTACGGTAGTTCCTATGCTGTCTGTTTCCTGCCCTGGACTGCCTCAAAGGATTGATATAGCTCTTACTCTAATTAATCCCAGATTTCTGCTAGCTTTCCCATTCCATCCCTCAAGCCGATTTCTTCCTGGATAATAACAATCGGATATTATTATTCTTTCCTTTCATTTTCCAGTGCATTTCTCACAGTAAATAATTATGAAGTACTGAATTCTGGCTCTATCCCAACATATATCTAATTCATAAATATGTAAGAAAATAAAATGACAGTTGGAAGACATCATTCTCTGCTCTAAAATGTGTCCAATCACCTCTTTTTAAATTTAAAGTAATTGAAACACATAACAGTATGGCACTTTACAAATACAGGAGGAGATATCAATCAATAATATCATCCCAACCCCTTACAGCAGGGCTGTCAAACTCACGGCCTGCAGGCCAGATGCATCACGCACTGGCCACGCCCATGCCGCGTATAGCGAAGGGGAGGGTGTCGTGATATGTCATGTGATGCTGCTGTGTTTGACATGTGTTTGACACCCCTGTCCTACAGCAACTGGGCTTGTACCTGAATGCCTCTTTTCAGTTACAGGTGCATCCAACAAACTTTAATTATAGCTCCAAAATGCTGAAGAGATGCAAGGGGCTAAGCATTAGATGCAAGATATTGCTCGGCCTGATACAAAGTGGGAAAGGATTTGCTGACATTTTATCCAGTTCCTAACATATAGGAAACTTAGAATATCCTTTCAGGATTCTCTGGGGAGTTGAGGGAGCAACATCTGATTTTTTTTGTCCAGAAGTTTAGAATGCTGGAATAAATCTGGGTGCTGGGGAAAAAAACCCATAAGGGTCCACATTATTAAAGAAGTTTACTTTTCTTTAATGAATTTTGGAATTTTTGTGCAATAATACAGATCTTTCCCAAACAATAGGGATATGTAAAAACAGTTAAATAGTAGAAAGTGATTGCACTAATAACATCAAGAAGCTTGCAAAGTATGTATGCTGAATCCAAAAATGATGAATGAACAGGATAGGTTTTATTTAGTCCCTGTGCTTTTTGAAAAGTTATATATAGAATTATTCTTTTCTTTTTTTACTCACAGCCCAAGGCCCTAAAACTTCTGGGAATGGAGGTAAGTGGCAGCTCACTCAATTTAATGACATTTTAGAAACTTTTACAACAGAACAAAATATATTGAGGACTGTGATTTAATGTGAACACATGACTTACAAGATTTTTTAAAACCCAGTAACTACTTCTATGTACTGAAGAACATTTGCAATTTAAGATTTCAAATGGAGCTTCTTTTCCCACCATAGAGGAGGGAAGTAGAATGAGAAGAGAAGGAAGGAAGAAATGATGGAAAAGAAATCCCACTGGACATGCCTAGAGCATCAGGCGTACCTAAAATTTATCTTTAAATCCTGGCAGGAAAATAATACGTGTTTTCAAGATAGTTCGTAAAGGAGGTCAATTTTCATCTATGACACTGTGCACATATTCATATGTATAACTATGGAAAAGAGGCAGAAAAGCTTATTTAAAGACTTCTAATAAAATTTCACAGTTTTAGTGAAGAATACATTCAAATACCTGTATTTGGAAACAACCACAAACATTAGAAGTATTAGGTAAGAGCCAGTATAGAAAATTATAATATTATAAGCTTTCTTGGGAAAAAAACACCTCTTCAAAAATGATCAGAAAACTAATTGTGAAATCAAAATTATTAAAATTCTATATTTAGATGAGAATGCATCAGGATGTTGAACATGATTTTCCCAGGAGTATTAAATCAGCACTGGGCATACCAGACAAGTATTTGTGGAGTGCTTAATTGCTGATTGTTAAGTATATCTCTAAATTATTGCTGTTAAATAAATTAAGGATAATTTATACAGTTTTGAAAGCTATTAGGCATTATCATTGCAAGGAGGGAGGGAGGGAGAGAGAGAGAGAGAGAGAGAGAGGGAGAGGGAGAGAGAGAGAGATCTTTCTAAGTAATTAGATCCAGGTAAGCTAGTGTGCAACTATAGAAAAGAAATAAGTTCAATGTCTTTTTAAGAATGGCATTATATTCCTAAAGTTACCTTTAGCCTAACAATATTTTTCTATGCTCATCAGGATGATGTTCCACTACGGAGGGGAAGAAAGACCACTAAGAAACGAGAAGAGGAAGTGGATATAGATCTAGATGATCCTGAGATTAACCATTTCCCTTTCCCCTTTCATGAACTGATGGTATGGGCTGTCCTGATGAAGCGCCAGAAGATGGCTCTTTTCTTCTGGCAACATGGAGAGGAAGCCATGGCTAAGGCTCTGGTAGCCTGCAAACTCTGCAAAGCAATGGCCCATGAAGCATCTGAAAATGATATGGTGGATGACATATCTCAGGAACTTAATCACAACTCCAGGTTGAGCGATTCATGAATGTTACGTCGATGTCCTTCGTTTTGTAAGACACAGAATCTAGATAGAATAACACCACTTCTTTTTATTACTGAGCTTATTAAACTAGAAGTCTCAAAATGCTTTCCAAATCCTAGGAGAAAAACCAGGCAGTGTAAACTGTGGTGGCATGAGGGCTCCCTCTTGGAATGTTTGCAAATACTCTCACCGATGACTGAAAGGCTTGCAAGGGAAATAAACATTTCACTCCAAGCCAAGGGCTCAGTGGGCTGGCCTTTGTAGAACAGAACAATGCTTCTAAGCCAAACCATTTCAAACAGCCATTGAGAATATTGATTTATAAGACTTCACTGTTAGAATTGAGGGTTAGCCATGCAAAAGGGAAAACAGTTATAACAAACATTGTTGTTAGGAACATGGGAAATCAATCTTCCAGATCCATAAAAAGCCAGGGTTTTATTGGTCAAAAACAGTACTTTACAGTTTGCTCAGAAAATAATTCAGACGTTGGAACTCCAATCTAAAGCCCAAATAACCCTATCTGGCAGTTTCTATTACATGTCAGTCCTTTAAAGAGCTACCCTATAAAAAGAATACTGCAATAGCAGGGGTGTCAAACTCATGGCGTCACGGCGGCATCACATGACGTATTAGGACTTTTTTCCCCTTCGCTAAATCGGGCGTGGGCGTGGCCAGTGCATGACGCATCCCGGCCCATGGGCCAGGAGTTTGACAGCCGTGTGCAATAGTTTAAACTTAATATTATAAACATATAAGTGACTGCTGATAACATTTATGGCCTGATTAACCATGGCATGCTAAATGCCTTTATAAGTATTCTTAATTCAGAAATGTACATATCTGTGTAATAAAATATGCCAAGGCAAGCATATTTTATCATTATTGGGATCTTGTTTCATATGAAACTCAGTCTAAATGTCTATGGAGATTCTCAGTCATCCAGGTCATGATTCTCCCAAAGGTGCTTTTTCAAGAAGCAACTGGACTTTCTGGTTTTTCTTCGAAGAAGCTGAAGAAGCTTCTTGGATGAGAAGCGAAATGCCTTCAAAGAAAAATCAGAAAGTCCAGTTGCTTTTTGAAAAAGCATCTTTTGGAAACTCAGTCTGTTTAGCCAAATCCAGTCCCTCATTATGTCTACAATTACCAGAGCATCAGACAGAAATTTGAATAGAAAAAGAAGGTGCTAAGGCTTAATTCATAGAACTACATAGAATAACAGAATTGGAAGGGACCTTGGAGGTCATCCAGTCCAACCCCCTGCTCAAGTAGAAGAGTCTATACCATTTTAGATAAATGGCTCTCCAGTCTCTTCTTAACAGCCTCCAGTAATGGGACACCCACAACTTCTGAATGCAAGCCATTCACTGGTTGATTGTTCTCACCGTTAGGAAATTTCTCCTTAGCTCTAGGTTGCTTATCTCCCTGATTAGTTTCCATCCATTGGTTCTTTTCTTGCCTTCTGGTGCTTTGGAAAATAGTTTTCCCTCCCCTCCCCTTATTTTTATGGCAGCCCCTCAAATACTGCAACACTGCTATCATATCTCCCTTAGTCCTTCTTTTCACTAGACTAGATATACCCAATTCCTGCAACTATTCTTCATATGTTCCAAACTTTCGTCTAATCATAAAGACTTTAGTCCAGGGGTGTTAAACTCAAGGCCCATGGGCTGGATGCGGCCCGTATGGTGCTTAGATTTGGCCTGCAGGCCAGCCTAGAAATATCAGAGGACTGGCCCACAGTGCCTCTGCTGGCCAAAACGGGCAGTGGGGGGCTCGCACAAGGCCCCCTTGTGGCTCATTTTCGGCCGTCAGAGTGCTGCAGGAGGCCATAGAGCCCAAAAATGGGCTGTGGGGGCCGCGCAAGGCCGTCCGTCCCATTCCACCACCCCCGCCCCTCGACGAAATCCAGTTTGACACCCTTGCTATAGTCAGTCAAGACTTCCTATAGTCATAAAGCTTGGTTAAATTACACTATACTTTTATTATTGAAAATCTGATTCCCTCACAGAGTTCTAATACAAATGAGATCAGAGCAACCAGATTAGCAACAAGGAGAGGATAGCAGATAAGTGGAAGCTAAGATTTCCTAGCAAAATTGAAACTAAGTGATTTAATGAAGGGTCTAATCTGAAACACAATATCTGCAAGTGCTCTCAGGATCTTAGCCAAACATGCCAGGCTGTGAGGCAATCCCTGCAGAAGTAGCTGTTAACAATTGTTTAGATGCCACAAACAGTAACAGATTCACAAGCTTTAAAAAATGCCTTTTCTTGCAGAGATTTTGGCCAGCTGGCAGTGGAGCTGCTGGACCAATCCTACAAGCAGGATGAACAGCTGGCTATGAAACTGCTGACATATGAGTTGAAGAACTGGAGCAATGCCACATGCCTGCAACTTGCAGTGGCAGCCAAGCATCGAGATTTCATTGCACACACGTGTAGCCAAATGCTACTCACAGATATGTGGATGGGGAGGCTTCGGATGCGTAAAAACTCAAGTCTAAAGGTCAGGATTCTTTTAAGTGTGAAACTTATGAGAAAGTTTATAAGTTAAATCAGCATATAAATATAATATAAAGAATTGACTGTTTCTAAAAATAGAGAACAGCCATATCTTTTTGCACTTCAGAAAGATGGATGGCCAACTCATTTTAAAACTTTAAGGGCCAGGACTTTATAGAATACTAAATCAATTATTGATTTCATTCTTACCATTGCCTACAAAATAAAGTAGAACCTCTGGTCACGAATGCTTCTGACTGTGACCAAATCAGGTTCCAACCCAAAAATTCACCAAAATTTTTTTTTTTCAAAGCCGATTTCCCCTTCCATGCCATTTTTTTTGTAAGCGCAAAATTTCCAAAATTAGGTTCGGGTTACGACCAAATTGAGTTGCGACCAAAGTTATGGAACGAATTATGGTCATGACCAGAGGTTCTACTGTAGTAGAACCTACTGTAGTTACATAATTTTGAAGCGTATATGCCTAAATGTCTCATTCCTAGCTGCATAAAATGCATGTGTAATAATAAACAAAAAGAGCAACTGGCAATAACCATAATTTTGTTAATTGTGATGATTGTTATTATCATTATTATTGATTTAGGTAATTCTAGGAATTCTACTTCCTCCTTCAATTCTCAGCTTGGAGTTCAAAAACAAAGACGATATGCCTTACATGTCTCAGGCTCAGGAGATCCATCTGCAAGAAAAAGAGCCGGAAGAGCCAGAAAAAACAGTAAAAGAAAAAGAAGAGGAAGATATGGAACTCACAGTAAGGAGAAAACATTGCTGGAAGTGATTTGCATAATTATTATTCCTTTGATCGTTGGCATCTGTGTCAAGGCACACAGTATAATTCAATACACATTCCTTCAGGCATCCATTTTTAAAAAAACTATACCAAAGTATTAATAGTAACCAGGAATAATTCCTAATTTGAATGTAATATAGTACAGTATATTTATTAGGAGAAAACATGTTGAGATGAATAACCACACTTCCCAAATTGCACTAGTGATTTTATATTTTATACATTGAGTTTCTTTCATACAGTTATTTATAATACTTTTTTGAAGAACATATCTCAAGTTACCTTGTATAAAACTATAGGAGGTTCGCAATTATCCAATTTTTACTAAAAACAAAAAGTTAAGAGAATTAACAAACTAAGAAAGTTGATATTAAGTTCAAATTCCAATAATATTTTAATGAATAAAACTCATTCTATACAATGCCTATTAAACCTGCTGGAATACAACAGGAGCATCAACAAGTCATTTAAACAAATAAAACAAAAACTAAGCAAAAATATTTCCACTGAAAGCTATAATGCTTAGCATACATTTCCTTATTATTTATGTTAGTTATATTTTGTATCTATTTTTCATTTATGATTAGGAAAATATACTCCAGAAATGTGCCTAAAACAATATGCTCAATATTTAACACTGCCCATCCCCTAGACTCCTCCACCCCCTCCAAAAAAACTGTAGGAATCTTGAAACACTTTACCAACATGCTTGTGTATGATGCAAGGAAGTTTTCTAAAATACTGTGTGGGTAGATGCAATATACTAAGGCAAAACACATCATTTTAGGGTGATTCTAGTTATAAAATGATTAATAAAATAAATTTGAAAGCTTGAAATTAGGCAAAGCAAAGATAATGGCTTCACAAATAGGTGAAAGGCTAATTTTTTTATAGAAAAGCTTTAAGCTATTTGGGGTTTTGAAAAATTGTAAATTGTAAAATTGTAAAATAGGAAGTTTGGAAATCATTTCACATTTGAAACTACAGAAAGTAGTTTGCTTTTAAACATCTATTTCTCTAAAGATTAATGTTGGCCTTTTCTGATACTGCTAGGGTCAATCTTTGGCCTAAGTTTTCATTCATTTTATTTTTCTGTTATTTTATTTGCTTTTCTTTAAATCATTATAAACATGCATTCGATAGCACGCTTATTCTGACAAACACTGAGCTCTAGCAATTTGAAGGGCTAATTCAAATCAATTTATTGTACATAAAACAGAATCAAAGCCTCTAATATAATCCAAATATTCTTAAATTCACTGCTGGCATAAGATTTTATAAGCATTTATTTGTATTTTTACATCTACTGACTTTCTTTCAGTGCCCTATTCAGTTTAGAGAAGCCATTAAAAACTGGATTGCTTGTTAAAAATGAGGCTATTTTCTTCAGGCCATCAGCAAGAACTATCCCCAGGATCTTATATGCGGGCAGGCAGAAGGCTCTGCCTACAAGAACCACAATTCAGGGAAGGAGACGACCGTAGGCACAAGATCAACCTACAGGACCCCTATGCAGGCAAGACCCCGGACCCCGGAAAAAGAGGAAAAGGTCATAAGCCAGCATAAGATTGACAGGTTGCTTTCCTATGATATGAACTTATTCTGCTTTAATAGTAGCTAATTCTTGCTGGCTTCTGATCAATAGATGACATGCTGATTCAAATCCAAAAAGCACAGATTGTTTAATGGGTCTACATCGTAGTGAACAATAATTGGTCTCTGTCATACCCCAGACCATGATTTCCTCCAGTACCATGTTTTGTTTGAGCAAAATTCCGGCATGCAAATACCAAAACAGATGTGGCATGGTTTTCCTCTCCCTCCTCTTATTGTGATCAATCCTTTACCTGTATTTTCCCCATGTCTAATATTAAATTAGTGAACCTATAGTATTATGTATACGGAAGGATCATGAGTGTAATCAGACTTTCTTCAATCAACAGCAGAGTGGTTGGTTTGAAGGAGTCTGATAATGTGGTTTTCCTTTTCAGAGTCTTCAAATGTGTAATTGTTTTAAATGAACAAAAGGTTCACATTGTTAGGTTAAATGCTGTTGACAGGAAAAAAGGAGAGATTGAAAGACTGCCCGGGTGAGCAGTCATGAATATTAAACAAGTATGCCTGGAAAGGAAGCAGGATACAATAGTTTGAAAAATAGGAATGAGGCAGTAATGTGCAGTAAGACATGGAGAATATCAAACATTATATTATATCCAACTAACATTGATTAGAACAGAGGTGTCAAACTCAAGGCCTGGGGGACGGATCTGGCCCACGGGGTGCTTAGATCTGGCCCATGGGGCCGCCCTGGAAACAGCAAAGGACCTGCCCTGTGGTGCATCTGCCAGCAAAAATGGAGCTCAGGAGGGCTGCAGGAGGCCCTCCCGAGCTCAGGTTTTGCTGGCAGAGGGTTGCAGGAGGCTGTCACAGCTGAAAACAGAGCTCAGGAGTCCATTTTCGCTGGCAGAGGACTTGGACCACCACAGGCGCCCCCGATACAAGTGACGTTGAGCTGGCCATGCCAACCCTGGCCATGCCCATCCTGAAGTCAAACAGAACCCTGATGTGGCCCTCAAGGAAATTGAGTTTAACACTCAATTTAACACTCCTGGATTAGAATCACTATACCACACATTTGAAGAAAAGCATGCTGTAACTAGAGCAGATAGATCCTTCCCTTTTTAAAGAAAAACCATAATGTTCTCCTCATTGAAACTGAAGGGCAAAGGGAATTCTAAAAAAAACTAGTAGCCATAACATGTGATAACATTAAAATATTTTAATGATATCCTTACATTACTCGTGTTGTTTATGTTTTTGTTTTTATAACTTCATTTTAAATTTTTTTTTTACTTTGCTTTTTTATTTAAAAAATATCAATCAAAAATCCAAAATTTTTGCTGGCAAAAACCTACAATGACTCTTTTTATAAATACTAATAGTTAAAGATATAAATCTAATATAATTATACATTATAATACTTTTTTCATGTTTCTTATCTTAGCATAATATGTATCATTTAATGATATTTGCATTTTGTTTGGACAATTTAATCAGGTATAAATATTGATTGATTTCCACCAGTTCTTTCGCGTAATTGACAAAAGGATCATTTTATTGCAGACAATTTTTCATTGAAGATTTTCTTTATTTTTGTATGTAAAATAATTGAAAAAAATCTTGAAATTTTAAGTATGTCTGGAAGGAATCACAAGAATGTCCCTTTAAATTTCAGATAAGGTGACCTCACATAGTTTGCAGTTTTGGATTTATAACAATAATATTTAGCTATTCATTGTTAATATTTTAATTATTTAATCTAAGTAATATTTAATCAATTTATGCATTACTGTGCTATTTTATAAATTCATGCAAAACAAACCAAAGCAATAATACAATTTAAAATACAAATTCCATAATTAGATACTAAAAGTAATTTACAACACCTTTAAAGATATATTCTGCCAACATTCCTGAAAACAGAGTTGGATCCAATCTTAACCATCCTAAGGCTCTAAATCAATTAAGGATACCAATAATACTGTTTTGTGTTCTCTTGAAAGAAAGACCATGTCTTTTATTTCGCAATACGTTATTCTCTTTTGTTTGTTAAAGAAAATATTTTGGAATTTCCTGTAAAACACTTATGAATGGCACTCCATTTTATCAAAAAATCAAGACCATATTCAATGTCATCTAATTAGTTAAAGCTACCATACTCGGTGTATAAAAATAAGGATCACCACTAAATGATAGGAAATTGAGTTAGATGAAGCTTCTACAAAAAAAATGTTCCTTCTAGTCTGTCTTCCATCCCTTTTAACATGCCCTAAATCTGTATCAGGCTATTCTCCCATGCATGACTATTGTATCTGGATTGCAAAAATACAGATAGGCAGTAGGTAACAATAAAGAGATTTTGAAAACTCTTAGTTCTTTCCTGTCATTAAAAGGTCCTCCAAATTTTGGGAGATCAGATATGGTTTTCTTACTCCACATTTTTTGAGGACATATGAAAAGGGGAGATAGGATTGGTTCGATTGGCACATACTGTTCTTGTAGCTAACAATGTGCCATTGGATCCAAATGTGAAGTAGGAAATAAGTATCTTTCACAACCACTCAGATCCTATTATGTTGCTATTCCAACATTACAATTGTCAGTCCTATGGTCCTTCCACTCACTGTTATGTTTTCATTTTCCCTGATTCACACTAATCAGGAAAATGACAAATCACACAAATAGAAGCAAATCTTTTTGTGTATTCCAAGAATTTTGTGAATTGCAGTTAGATTTTGTTTGTTGATGTGGTACTGGTTTACCGTTTGAAAATGCACTCAGTATTTCAATACAATATTGATTTTTCGCTCAGCTTTTTTTTATAATACTGAATATCAAATTATATTTATTTCTATTCGGCTTCCTCTCATCCATTTATCCAATGTTTTTTTTTATTTTATAGGCAATGTTGGGACGTAGCAGTGGAGAGTCATCAGCAAGAAAGAAGGAAGAGGAGGAAGTTCCGAACAGATATAGATTGATCCCCTTTGGACGTAAAATCTATGAATTCTACAATGCACCAATTGTTAAATTTTGGTTCTATACTGTAAGGAGCAATTATCATTTTATTTCTAGTAACACTAATTTATAAAGGCTTCATTCTTCAGTATGTTTACATTGTATAACTACTCTTCATAGATTTAGAGTGATGCAACTGTTATATGCTCTTTTACTAAGTTTATAAAAATCCACTGAATTGGGTTTAAATTGTTAAAGTTAAACTTTTGCATTAACGATGTTTCTGCATGAACTGATTTGCTTCTTATATTCATTTAAAGAGACTAGGCAATGATGTATTTGCTTCGCTTGCAGTCAAGGAATTGTACACTCTTTTAAAATAAATTCATAAAATCTAAGTATCGGATTCCATATATGCAGTGAAAGTCTTGTATTCATAAAGAATTTTTGAACTAAAAATTAGTCTTCTTGTAGGAGAACTTTTTTATTTCTAGAAATAATGTTATTTCAGCAACATATCAGCTAAACATTTAACTCATATATGCAGGTAAACTGTGTTTTTCTCTTTATAGATGTTTTACGTTGGTTACCTGATGCTGTTCAATTATATCGTTTTGGTGAAAATGGAACGTTGGCCTTCCATGCAAGAGTGGATAGTTATCTCATACATATTTACAATGGGAATAGAAAAGATGAGAGAGGTAATACTATCCTAAAGACAGTTATTCCTTGTGCTTTTTCCTAAAGATCAATCCTACTGTAAACAAAATAAGAATACCATCATCAGTAGAAAATGTGGGTTTTTTTCTGACTTTGGCTGGTTTTCTGAAGGTGTTGTGAAGAACTGAGATACTTAAAAATAATGGAAATTACGCCAGGAAGGGAAAATAGGAAAAGCCACATTGTTTCTGTTTGCAAGAACTTCAAATGGAATAAAAGACCCTTGGAACTGACACTTAGAGTCCAATCCAGTGTCTATAGTACTTTCTCTTTCCTTTTAAGCAAATTATAACCTTGAAGAATTTTCTGATATCTATGGGCACCTATAGTTATTGTGACAGAATTGTATATACAAATTGATTTTATTTAACTGACTGCTGATTGCTAATTTAGTTTCTATTTTTATAAAACCACCATAAGTCATTTAGGTTTGATGGTATATCAATAAGTAAAATTTAACGGTGAACTTTAATGTGCTTATGTGTAAAGCAGTAGTTTTTTCCCCTGCATATAATTTGTATGTTTCCCAATAGGGAAAATTTGAAATGCACATTTATTCAGGAAAATGGCTCAGAGTGGCATTTATTACATCCAACACTTTCAGAAGACACCAGATTGGGAAAAGCTGTAACAAAAGTGTAACAATGTTAGTGTATGCCTGATTTGAGGAACTTACCAATGTTTGTATCTTTCAGTCACACTTTTTAAATATAACACTCACCTTGTACTAACAAAAAAGAAAAAATCAGGCAACTCAGGTGGGATCGTCAGAGCCTTTTAAAAGCGTTTTTTTATAACCTCTTCAGCCGAAGAGGTTGCAGAAAAAAATGCTTTTAAAAGGCTCTGACGATCCCAGCTGAGCCATGCGATCATCAGAGGCTTTTTTTTTTACTTTTAAAAGCATTTTTTTGGCCGAAGAAAAAATGCTTTTAAAAGTTTTAAAAAAGCCTCTGATGATCGCACGGCTCAGCTGGGCATGTGGGGGGGCAGGTTTTTTTGCTACCGGTTCTCTGAACCACCTGCCGCCATCGCTACCGGATCGGGCGATCTTGTCCGAACCGGGAGCATTTCATCCCTGCTCTTTGGCCAAAGAGGCTGTAAAAAAATGCTTTTAAAAGTTTTTTTTTAAAAAAAGTTGGCCACGCTCACTCAGTCACATTATCCACCACCACCAAGCCACGCCCACAGAACTGGTAGTAACAAATTTTATATTTCACCACTAGTATCCAGGATACATAGACATAGACACACACACACACATACAGAGTATATGTATATATCAGAGTCTGTACTAATGATCTGTACTTGAATAGACCTCAAGTACAGATCATGCAAGTGAAATGACAAGAGGTGCGGGCAAGAGAGTCAAGAGTCCTTTCTGCATTCTAAAACTCTGTTACAAAACCAAGGAGGCTATTTCACATTGCCTTACTTAGCTGGCTCTTATGTCCATATTCCATAATGCTTGAGGTAGTCCTGTGAATAGATTTTGAAATTATAATCCAGGACATATTTGTCAAATCATTCATCATATTATTTTTGACCCAAAAGCTATTCCTTTTCCATTTCTAGATATTAATGTCAGAACCTGGGAAACTACTGCAGAAGGTAAAGGTGTGGCTTCAAGAATACTGGAATGTTACCGACCTTATTGCCATCCTCTTATTCTCGGTGGGCATGGTGCTTCGCCTGCAGGATCAACCGTTCAGGAGTGATGGCCGGGTCATATATTGTGTCAACATTATTTACTGGTATATCCGATTGTTAGACATCTTCGGGGTGAACAAATATTTGGGGCCATATGTAATGATGATTGGGAAAATGGTAAGAAAAAGTTACCCATCCTTCCTTTTTGTTCTGCATGTTATAAGCGAAAACAGTAGAAGGTTGTACTTCTCTGTGCCACGCAGCTTCCTTTTGTTATAGTGTAGTATTCAGTTGGAGAAAAGGTATATTTCGATGGCAAGGCTTGTGCATTTTTTTCTTGTCCTTGTCAAAGTGATTTGGATCATTGATTCAAACAGAATTCTATGGAAGTTCTTAGGAATTTGGACCGCAAGTCTAAAATTGTTAGCAGCATTATACTCACTATTTTTATAGAAAACACATGCAGATACATTCAAACATCACTCAGACTATGAATATCTGGGAATGGGATAGAAATAACCCTAATCTATTTTGCATCTAGGCTAGGATAGTGGGAGTAATCGCAGTCTATACTGAGGTTACAGGGGAAGTCTGGGAAAGATTGATAAACTGTGTGATACAGATTTCACATTTCACTAAGATGATATGGAACTCACAAATGGAAGTGGGATAAAAATTAATTAAGATCATTCAAGTCTGCCCTTGCTGTTTAAGAGATGGAGTATTTTAAATGGCAGCAAATATTTTAACACCCTTATTCATTATTTTGGAATCTCTATCACAGAGCCTTCACTGCATGTCTAATACTGAATTATGCAGGAATAATACATTTCAGTAGGGTCGATAAGAGTAAGGGGTTGAGATGTGAGGAAAAGCAATAAATATAAAATTGGGCTCTTTAATTTAATATAAACCTGGATTATTTAAAGTGGTAGATTAGCAATGAAACCAGAGTCAGGGATGTAATAATAACAACAACAACAACAAAAAGCAATACTTGTAAACAGCAGAAGAGAAGAGAAAAAACTGGGGAGGGGGTGTCACAAAATGCAAAGACCTGAAAATGGAAGTAGAATGACTGTAACCAAAAATATATATATATGATAGGACTTATATTAAAAGGTACCTTGAGTACAATTTCAAAACATCTGAAGCACCATTTGAACATCATTGGCATGTTGGTTTATTCTAACATCTACCAAAGCAGCTTAATTAACTGACTCATTTGAGAGTGCTAATTGTAGCCTAGGCCATAGGCCAAAATACAAATGTTTGCACAGTCCCACACCCATTGTTCAGGAAAAAAAACATTCCTTTCTGCATACATATCAAAAAAGGGCAATCCATATGCATCTATTTTATTGTCATGCATACCTAATCTTTGATTTACTTTGCAAAGAAAGCACTAAAGCATTTTTGAGATGGAGTGAGATGAGTTCCTCAGCAATAGTTGAAAGTTATATCAGATCACATTCTCACAGAAATGTGGAAACATGGAATTTTACTGGGAGTGACAGAAATATAAAGTTTGCAGGCTAGGGTAAACCTGTTCCAATAATGAGACTTCAAAAGTAAAATTTAGGACTGATTCGCACATTCATGTGCAGCACAAAACAGATAATGATTTATAATAAAATGTATGCTCAGCTTCCACTCAAACATATTATGGGGTGAGGTGATGCAATAAAAAGGTTCTAAAAGGCATTACTTGATTTGTTGAAAGTTAGGCACACTTCAGTAATAATAGGAGTGAAATTTTTGACTGCATGTCTGTCTAATCCAAGAACAAAGAAACAAGTAGTTGTTATGCTATGCATTGGGCTAGTTTTCTCTGTACTGAAACTGAGAGTCACATAATGTTTACCTGTACATTTGTGTGTGTGCATACATAGATGACAGACAAATAGACAGACAGACAGATCAGATTTTATTAACTTACTTGGAAATAAGCAGAAGCAGAAACAATCAATAATAGTCCCAAAGAATACACAGCATTTGTATTTAATTTGCAACCTGTATTGCTACCTTTGGTCTACATATGAAAAGAAAATTTCTATACCATTTTAAAATGTAATATTTCCAAATGAAAGCCTAGGATTTATTATGGTGCATGATTAAAAGAACTTAAACATAACAGAACATAAAATTTAATAGACAAAGGTCCAGCACAAGTACTTGAAGAAGATTATCACGACAAGCCAAGCAGCTGAAATAGCGCGTTAATATGTGGATGCTTAAATCATTTGACGATTTATGCTTTATATACAAGTTGATCAATTCTCCAGAATAAAGTTGCCTTCTTTCTCTCTGTCTCTGTAATTTTTTTCTTTTCTTTCAGATGATAGATATGATGTATTTTGTCATAATTATGTTGGTGGTTCTGATGAGTTTTGGTGTTGCAAGGCAAGCAATTCTCTTCCCCAATGAAGAGCCATCATGGAAACTGGCAAAAAATATTTTTTACATGCCCTATTGGATGATCTATGGGGAAGTGTTTGCAGACCAGATAGACCGTAAGCAAGTTTATGATTCTCATACACCAAAGTCAGGTATCAAACTTTGATCAGGTGATGTCTTACATGATTATTGTTAACACTCTCAATAAATGGCTCAAGATAGAGGACTCAAACATTACAGGAAAGTATGATATATTTAAACTGTTAATCTCAGAAGGTGAAATCAACATTTCTATACCACCCTGGCTGCCTTTTTGTTTTCACTTTTAATACATATAAATCATACTCAAAGTACACATCTACTTCAGTGTTCTACCATTTTAATTAATCATTGCCTTTCCCTGTGAATCACTGGTATGCCGAGAGGTCCCAAGCACTCCTCAATGAGGTCCATATTTGAGGAGTCTTAACTGGATTAAGTTTGTAATGCAGATTATATCAGTTGCCATCCATTAGTTTAATGGTGGAATGTACAAACCCTGTTTGCTCAAAGACCATTCAATCCCAGAAGCTACTGTACCAGTTCTAGATTTTTACCCAGCATTGAAATTACAGTGGCATTACATTAATTTATGCCACATTTTTGACCTGTTTCGATCACCCTGTTTTGGTATATTAGTAAAATAATAGTTATTTTAAAATATATTGTAAGTGTTGTCTATGTATTGAATAAGGACTGTATACCACTTTGTACTTTATTTAGTATTGATGGGGTATCGTGTTAAGGGACTAGGCTGCAACCTGTGAATTCCCTGGATCAAATTCATTGTTTGCCACTAGGTGTCTTTAAAAAGCCAGTCTCTCATTCTCAGTTTCCCTAATTGTGATTTAGGGATATTAAGCTGACTGTTCCAAGAATGTCACGTACATATTATCTGGGAGAAGCCTGAGAGCCTTACACAAATATGAAACTTCATTTTTTGTGTTCCAAACCTGGAATCTGTTTCCACACATGTTGTTGTAAGAATTCATTTGCCTGGCCCTTTGCAAATATAGTTCTTTTTTAATGCATTTCCTGGCTGTCTGTGTAATGTTCCAGACCAGATCATGCTCATATAAAATTTTGGAGCTGTAGGAATGAGCAAGAAGAGCTTGCACAGACAGGCATGTAAGAAGAATCTAGTTAGCTCACCTCTTCTGCTTGAGAGCACAAGGATGGCATTTAAAGATCCAAATGCACTCTGAGTATCATTAGAAACTTTTTCAGATGTTCCCATAGATCTATTGTGAAGTCAGATGCTTCTTTCAGGAATGAGTGTGCTTCTATAATATAGCTCAGGCTAATGCAAAATCCAGTTACATAAAATATAGAAAGAGAGAAGCAGATTGTTTTTCCCAATTATTCAGATTTGAAGAGGGTTTTTTAAAAAATATTTTGCTGCATTTTATTTAACCTCTTCTTCATTTTATATGCCCACCAGAAGGAAGCATTTGCTGAAATACCTTTATATATACTCTTTTCTTTCTACTATTGATAAAAGAAATCCATATCATTCTCCAAAGAGAAAGAAAGAGCAATTATTTCTTTCCTCTTGCAAATTATCCTTCCTTTTTGTTCTCATAATGCGGAATTCAAATGAACAAAAGTCTTTCATGACTTTAGCTTTCTGCTTGACTACATATTTCCTTTTTTGTTCTGTATGTGGGGTTTAGGAAAGCCAAGAAGTGGGAGAAAAGTAGAATCCCAGACTGTGGAATTTCTTTTCAAAAATGTCTGTTCCTCTACAAGTGGCCATTTATTGCTGTTGTACTGAAAAAAAAATCTACTGGCATAGTGCAACATGTTCCACAGCAACTTGGCTGAGGAAAACATGCTTTTTCTTGCCGTGTGCTGATTCTAGTTTAGAACCCTGGAAATGGAGAATGGAAATGACAAGAGCAGAGCATGCTGTAGTTCTCTTTGAACAGAGGAGCATATGTTTAGACCTGATATAGAGAACTATATACTACATCTGTTTTAAATATACACCAATGACTGAACTCCTAATGAAGCTGCAGAAGTGATTATTTCAGCATGAAGTGCTTCATACTGTACTATCAAAAGTCAGATTGTGAAAGGCCATGTATCACCCTCCTCTGGAGGACTTGATGATAATTAATTGAGAATTAATGAATCCCTACGTTGTTTTAACCTCAGCATCCAAACGGAGAAGGCAGAATTTGTCAGCACTTGTGTAATGCAAGCAGCCTATTCAAAATCCCTATGATTTTAGCTAATTGCTTGGCAAAATAGCCAGAGGATAATGTTTGTTTCTAAGTTAGATTTCTATACAGAATACAAATCCAAAATGCATAAAGAACTAATATAGTCTGACTGCATTTAAAGGATAATTTTGTTCAATCAAGTTGTGTAAAAGTCGGAAAATGTCCCAACGCACAAAAAATTGAAATCTGGGGGAAAAAATGAATAGATGCTAACTGCTAATCTAGGACTTGTAAGTCCATCTTTCTGCTTCTGTATATTTTATGTTCAACCTACGGTATTTATTATTGATGTGTCATGGAACAATATGTATCTTTGCACACAGAAAGAGAGGATATTAACCCATATACTGTTATTTATCTATTCAGGGTACTATTTTCTCACTTTTTGAAAAAAAAGTACAGCTGTTAGTCTCCACAGTAGCCTAAGCTAAATCAGCCACAACTTACTATGCAAATTATTATCTTTCTGAATTATCAATCCATCTATCTTAGAGTTTAGTACCATTTATTTAAAAGTGTATGCTATATACATACATAGATTCAGGCTTTTCTTTCCTTTCCTTTGCATTGGTATTACTTGTTACTAGTTATAAATTCTGGGTTCCTTTTAAAAACCCACATATCTCTCACTATTTGTTTGATCTTAATTTCATAAAATATTTCACTGAATTTGAGAAATATACCAAGTATTATGTAAGACTCTAAGATAGGTTTGGCTTTTTGTTTTATTCTTTTGTACTGGTATGTGAAGCATGAAATCTGGCTGTCCAGATTAACAGTCAATGTCTCATCAACTGGCAGCCTCTCCATTCAATGAATGTATTCTATATTCCTCATCACTTCTTTTAAACAAAGCATTTAATGATTTCTGGGCCAATGCATGTTTTTTTGTAATTGGGTTCTGGTGATGGGGTATCAGTAAATAAATGTTTAAATTCTTTTGGAATGGGAAAAACAATATGTATGGTGGCTGGATTGTAGTGTTAAATTTTGAGTTTCACTTATAGAAATGGTAATTCCTTAAAGTCTGAAGAATATGACTATTTGAGACTCATGGAATCTGGTTTTTAGACTTCTCACTGTTGACTTGGAAGAGAGCACAGCTTAGTGATCCCTTCATGTCTATAATTAAAAGGTTTTTAAGTAACAAAGCAAAGTGGCAGTGTGGAAGAGAATCTTGAATGGTATTTTGAATTGTTACATATCAGGGAATAATAGGCAATTTAGATACCCTATCATCTTGCCCAGACCATTTAAGATATGCATAGGATGGGAAAACTACCTGAAATCATGAAGGGCTGCTATCCTGTATTGTTAACAATTGCTTGCTGTTCCATCTAACAATGATTGATTGAGTGTGCTTTTGAGTCATGTTCGATTTATAACAACTTTAGTTTTCTTGGCAATATTTTCAGAAGTGGTTTGCCATTGCCTTCTTTTTAGGGCTGACAAAGAATGACTCCGCCAAAGTCACCCAGCAGGCTACATGCTGAAGGGAGGACTAAAATTCCAGCTTTCTGGTTATTAGCCCAAACTGTGTCTCATTCAGAGACACATAAACTAAAACCCATCCATATTTGCTAAGTATCTGCTCTACTAAAATTCAGCAATTAAGCAGGGGGTTGGACTAGAAGACCTTCAAGGTCCCTTCCAACTCTGTTATTCTATTCTAAGATAAATGATGTATGATTTACTCTTAAATTTGGAGAAGTAGAATGACAAAAAAATTACCCGAATGAGAATTTGATATACTGAAAATTAACGTCTAAGATGAATAAATGCCACCAAGCAGCCTGCTAGCTGAAGTAACAGTATTCACCACTGAACATCAGAGTTCAATGGGTTATCCTTAAATCAGAAGAAAAGAGTTGCTTCAGTCCGCACTGGACAGAGTTTTACTAATCCCAAAGGGTGAGCTGATGCTACTTCCAATTTAGAACATTATTGTGTATAAGGTTATTTTATTTCTCCAGCTAACTGCTCATATCAAGATTGCCTCTCCTTTCTTCTTCTCTAAGCCAATCATGTTCAAATGTTTAACATAATCTAAACAAACAAGGAATTCCTGGCAAAGGATACTTTGGAAATGTGAAAACTACTGTTCTCTTTCAAGAAAGGAGGAGGATTCTAAGAATACTTTCCCTAAATGGCTCTGGGGAAGAATCAATGAGTCTTCTAGTCTTTGGGCAAGTTGCTTCCCAAACGATTTAAGCTTCAAGGAAAGCAGCTGTTTCAACTGTGTTTAGGAATGGCTTCCCTTAGTGACTTTTATCTTGGCATTTATTCATTTATTAACACTAGCAAGAGTAACAATAGTAGCTTTATTATTTGCTTATAATATGTCATAGTAACATTAATATAGTGATGGGTTCATAAAAACATCTCTCATCCAGAATCCTCCCTTACAAATTTAAGAGAAGCACATTTAGATAATTTCTTTGCCTTGGTGGAATGGAGATCAAGGGACATTTCCTACCTTAAATCTTCCATTCCCAAAAGAGAAGAGAGGACATTTTATTCATCCCAAACTTTTCTTACAATACTTCAGATTCTCTCATTATTTCTGAATTTGGTAGCGTTATCTACAATTCCCTGAGTTGTTCTCCTTTAGTTACTTTGGTTACCGCAAGGTGATCTGAAGATATGCAATTTGAATAAAATTATGTATTGCCTTAAGAAGAGCAAATTCCTGGTTTTACCACTTCTAGCCAAGGAAGTTAGAAATTTCATTCCAATACAGGAATTAATTTTGCAAGCTAACTATGCCTCCTGCTGAAGGGAAAGCCTATTCTAAAAGATATTCATATTAATGGATTTTCCTAGTTTTCCAAAATAGATCAAATTCCTGTAAACCCTCACTAGCCATTATGGGGTATTTTAAAGACACAAAATAGTACATCATAGATTTTCTCATGATCTCAGAGACTGGATTGCTCCAAGGATCAATGAGGCTGAAGGTTACAGTGTTAGATTAGGGCGGGGGAAACTTAGATTTAGTTGCCTAAATCTTTAATTTAGCAGTTCAATTTTTAAAGACTGTGTTAGTCACTTTATAGACTCAACGAACCGTGTTAGGAATAAAAAGTAGGACAATGGGGAAGAGGACAAAAGAATTACACAAAAATAGATAAATATCGAAATAAATATGCAAACCTTGCTTATTTCCTCATATAAAAGTCTATTTTTGTTAATGGGAGGGGAAGAACCAAGGACTCTTTACTGTAAAGGCTCAATTATTAGAATGAGAAGTACAGCCCAATAACAAAACATGATTTATTTCAAAATCAAGATTATTATTTAATTCCTGCCCTCTGGAACATCTTACCCTCTGAGGTGAGATTGGCTGCCACATTCCTGATGTTTTGTAAAAGCCTCAAGACTTGGATTTGCCATATGGCTTGTGGACCCAATGGGGAAGCTTCATACTGGAGGTGGTTGATTAATTAAATTCAATCCCACCTCCACCTCCCCTTGTGTCCAGCTCCCATCTTTGCCATCTTGTGTCCATGATTTTATGTGTTATGTTTTTTTACAACATATGATTTTAATGTTTTTCTATGTTGTAAACCTCCCAGAGTTTTTGGATACGAGATGGCAACAAATACATTTTATAAATAAATAAATAATTTAACAGTGCATTCAGAATTGCTTTATTCTAATAGAAATATTTCTTGAAAAAGTCTAACTATTCTCAAATGTTGTTAATGTTTTGAACAGATGATAATAATGACTTTGTTGCTTGAACCATCAATCTTAACAAAAGAAAAACATAAACGTACATTGCAGGTTTTGTAATTTAGAAATAGAAGATAAAATCTTCATAATAATCAAATTCTATTATACACCAGACAGGTCATGTCAATCGTTTCATGGTTTATTTAATTTATAATTATTTAATATATAATGAAACTAACCTTTGAAACTCAAAAGGAAAGCTAAAATAGGGTGTTAATTTAACAGCATGTAAATCAAATATTGATGAATTAAATCCTTTGTTAAAACTAAATAGTGGAAATAATTCAGTCTTATTGCACAGTGCATATTTCTATTCCTTTTTGAGGACAGAATTAATTTACTAATATCAGATGTAATTTTTAGAGAGATGTTTTATAAATAAATTTATCCATAATTAGGCACTGATTGCATGTTGTAACTTGTCATGCATTTGCTCATAAAATGATTCAACATCCATTCAGTTTTAAGGTATTCATTTAACACATTAATAAAATATCATATTTTATGAGTGCCGAGATTCAAACAAATTGCTCATTAAAATATATGTGTGCTCCATACACTATCCAAATGTAGCCCCTTCTGAAAGTCCTGCTCCTTCTAGAGAAATAATCCATCCATATAATGGTATAATTTAATCTGTGATCCAAATCAAACAACTAGCTTGATAATATACGGTAGGTTGGCACAGCCAATTCACCTCATTCTTTTGCTGATACCAATTCTAGAGGTCACTTATTATCCATAGAAACAATTTAATTAAGATGACACAAAAAAGGTGAATGATGTGGGCGGGGAAGAGAAATCATCTGACACAAAATAAGAAAATAATCTTTTACTGACCTTTCAAAACCAGATGTCATGAACAAGTATCATGATACAAAGATGATTTTCAATATTCTAATGAAAACTATGGAGCAATTTGAACTTTGCTGCTTTTTCCACTTATACCCCCCTATAGGGGGTTTTTTCCACCTAGAAGAACAATTCATTTTTTAAAAAACACCTTATATTAAGGATTGTAACAAAATTAATACAAAGCAATATAGACAAAAAAACAGAAAAGTAGAAAGAAAAGAAATGCAAAGTGCAAAAAGTTAAAGAAAATAAAGAAATAAAATGGAAATAGAAAAAAAAATATTTTAAGAAGTGATTCTCACTCCTCTCAGTAACAAATACAAGCAAATTTAATATTTGCCCACCTCTTGTAAAATTATAAAAATAATCCACTTCTTACTATAACCCTCCTTTTCATTCACAAATTTAAAAATCATTGCCTTTTCTGTCCGAGTACTGGTAAAAAGTCCATAAAGGGTTCCAGCAGTATATTTTATTTTACCCTTGATCAAACAACCAACTTTTTATTCCTTTTTTGGTTGATTGGTTGGCTTTGCTCTAACCATCTCAATCTTTATATCATACAGTTGCTGTTGTGGGCTTGAATCTGCATTTAAACTTTCTTCCTCCCATCTCAAAAATTTTAGAAATCCACTTTTGTAAACCCATTAATAAATCTTTGTCCTTGTGATTTTTCATCTCTTCACATCACTTGTATTTCCATTTTAATTCTGTTTTATAATCCACAATTCCTCTATTTTCCAACATTTCTATATCAGCTGGAATTTGTTTCACCTCTTCATTCTGTCAGTCTCTAAATTCTTCCATTTTACTCTTTTTCCTTTTTTATTTCCTCTTTAGAATCATTTTCAAGAAATGCATTAGCAGTAATTATTACTATCAGTTTAAGTTTCTCTCCCAATTCTTCAAAGAACCTTTGAAATGTATCTAGTGTCATACGTATATCTGTCAATTTATGAGCTTCACTACTTTTCTTTCAAATCATTCAAATAATAAAATATGGATTCTTAAAAATAAAGAATAAAAAACAGGTTTTTCTCTTTCTTTTTTCCCCAACTTGGAACTTTAATGTCAAATTTCTATAGAATCTCAATAATCATCTCTTTCCTGGTAAACTAAATAATTTAGGTTCTATCAAGAAATATCATTTTATTTATCATGTTATTTCACAAATCTTAGCAAAAGTTCCAATATTCCAAATTCTTCTGGTCCCTTAATCTATTTAAAACTTTCTTGAATTACATTATTTATCTTTTTGTCCTTTATTTTATATTTTTAAGTTCTTTAAACTGTTGTTTAATTTTTCTTCTTTTAGTGGATGAAGTTTTACTCATTAGGTATTATGGGGTCCTTGGTGCTCTCTGTTCAGTTCAGTTCAGCTCAAGATTGAGCTACAAATATTCTCTTCTATCATCACAAGATAGTTTTTAAAAAATTTTTTGCTTAGAAGTTCTCCTTTAACTTTGAAAACATATTTAGAAAGGAAGGTTGTTGAACCCCCATGTTCAAAAGTAAGGTAGAAAGATCTAGTGTCCTTACTTCCCAGTGCTCAGACCTGTGTGTTGACTGCTCTCCCAGGGTCTCCTCAAAAGGAATAGCCATCTGGTGCATAAGTGGGCAAACTCTCATCCTCTCCTTACCTGGAGAGATTCTGTTAGACAAGTTCATCACTGATTCTTTGGTCTTTGCCAATACATCATTTCCACTTCTCCAGAGATGTCTTAGTTCATCAATGCCTCACTCAGAAATTTCACCAATGGAACTGTCTTCTCCCTTTCTTCTATTTGCACCAGGCAGATTTGCCCATCTAGGATCAAAAGCAATCTGAGCTTCAATATCTTTATTAATTTTGAGGGGTGGTTATTTTGTGAGCCAACATTTTTCTCATGCATTCTGTAATATGAAATGAGCTTGCACCTGCTAAACATTCTTTCACTTCTTGAACAGATTAATTTACTGGATGTTTTCTTGTTGTATAAATTTCTCCTTATTCGCTGCTATATTGGGAATGTGTGAGAAAATAATCAGGGGTAGGAGAGGAATAGCATTCCTTGCACCAGTGACACTTCCTAAAAGTAGCAAACTGATCTACGGTATTGGTGAGGAAATGTAGTTGCTGTTTGGGTGAACAAAAATAGCCAAAGTCATCCCAAATTAAAACTTCAGTTAATTAATAAGAAGGCATATTTTCTAAACTATATCAGCATTAGAAAACTATGCCATTTTGTCCTCTGTTCTTTTCAAACACTGGTGACATAAAAGAAAGTAAAATGTCTGCTCTGTTGCCTATAAATTTTACCTGCCTGTCCACATTTGATTCTAGAATACTGTTAAATATCCTAAAGTGGACTAAAATAAGGCAGCAACAAAAATCCTATTGTGATTCTACATATATTAGTCAGATATACTATATTCATCAAATGTTCCTTTTTTAAATCGTTTGATACTACTGATATATCCTAGTTACCAAAAAGCAAACGGATATATAAATAACATTTCACACAGATGTTTTTATCAGTTCTTAGCACATTTAAGAGAGTTAAATTTCGAAGCACATAGTAAGTACCTAGAAATTGGCAGAAATGCCAAACTTTTTAATATTTGTCACAAGATTGGTTTTAAAGTATCTACCAACATAAATTATTTGCAATAGCAAACAATGTAAGTATTCCATGACAGAGTTTAGAGTACATTGATCATGGGTATCTTTTGCAGAGGGAGGATGTCCAGAAATTTCTAAGGTTTTGAAATACAGTATGTTCTGCAATCATTTCTTCTTAAAATTTATTTTCTTTCACCTCCTCAGCTCCATGCGGTCAAAACGAAACTAGAGAAGATGGTAAAATAATTCAGCTTCCTCCCTGCAAAACAGGAGCATGGATCGTTCCTGCCATAATGGCTTGCTATCTTTTGGTTGCAAACATCCTTCTGGTGAACTTACTGATTGCAGTTTTTAAGTGAGTTGATAAAATATTATATATTTCTCCTCCATCCACAGCAGCCATGCCAAACTTTTTAGTATTTGTCACCAGACTGATTTAAAGCATTTACCAACAGAAATTATTTGCAATGGTAAAAAATGTAAGTATTCCATGACAGAGGTTTAGAGTACATAATCATGGATATTTTTTGCAGAGGGTATATGTCCAGATATTTCTATGATTTTGAAATACAGGTGATCGCAATGGTGCTACAATGGCCAAAACCTGGAAGGCCAATCAAACACAATTCATTCAGCACCCTTGTAACTTTGAATAACTAGTCACTGAACAAGTCATCATTAACCACAGACTATCCCAAATATGCTTTTTCAACAACGTTTCATTTTTCATCTAAGAAGCTTCTTCAGCTGAAGAAGTTTCTTGGATGAGAACCAGAACGTTTTCAAAGAAAAACCAGAAAGTCCAGTTGCCTCTTGAAAAAGCACCTTTGAGACAACCATGACCTGGATGACTGAGAATCTCCATAGACATTAACCGCAGACTACTTTTTTATAGGCACTATGTATGCCTTGACAAAGATGTAGCTGTTTTAAAGAGTTGCAAACAGAGGCTACATTTGTGCACTCTGAAGAAACTTTGCCCAGTTCTACAGCACAAGAATACCCAGTTATATAAATAAACATATAGTGTAAAAGTTGTGATTGTGTTACAGGTAAATTCAGTGTAATTGAAAACTCAGATGTGTTTCATATTCAATCAGGTTTAAATTCATAAACTGATTAAAAAAAAATAGATGGAACTATATTTTACTTTTGAACAAGAAGACTTTGTATTTTAGGGTAAAATTTAATCTTCCAAGCTGTTGTGGAAAACAAAGAAAGATTTCCAATTTATGTTATTTTAAAATATATACCTGAAGATAGCTTTAAGTTTGATCAAAGTCAAAAAGTGCTCAAAAGCGGCAATTAATCCTTGCTCCTCAGTCCATTTTTCTTTTCAGTTATTTTGGATGCATCAAGCACTGGAGAGCAGACTGAATTAAAAAAAAGAACATCTATTGAACACTTCTTCCAATATATATGCCCCAATCAACTAATATCAGGAGGTGTTTCCTGTACTATTTCCTATCCTAGGCTATTTTCTACCTGAAGGAGTTGACATATTGAAGATATCCTGAGATATGGATTCATCAAGGAAATCTCCTTCCTCCCTATCCACTGTTTAATTAAAGATAAAACTTACAGGTTGATACAAAGTTCAGCAATTTTGAGGCAGAGGTGCAAGGCCAGTATTAGCAGCCAAAATAGTTTGGTAATTACAAAATAAGCAGGGCCCTCCAGTAGTGGCAAAAGTTTCCATACAGTAAGCCTGCAAAAGACACCTGGTTTATTTGACCAAGACATGAGGTTAGGTTGAAATACTGAGTTGTATTCTCCTGTTATCTATCTCAGTAGTGAGGAACAGCCTTCTACTGGATGCCATCAAACAAGATGGCCACCTCACAATTTTGCCCCAAGTCCAAATTTAACAGCATTTCAGTGCTTTTACTTGCACTTGAGGTCCTCTGGTTGTCTTAGTGAAGTGGGAAAGAGTGGAGGTTGTGGTGGTGTTGCATCCATGCTACTGAAATAACCTAAGACAATGGCCAGTGTTAAAGGAAAATCTTGGAAACTGGTTCTTATAGCAGTTATATTTAAATACCCAAGTGAATAGATAGTTCTTTTAGAAGTAGACTATCTCCTATCTCCTAGACCAGTGATGGCAAACCTTTTAGACACCGAGTGCCCAAACCACCTGCGCGCATGGCCAAACCAAAAGGTGTGTGTGACTGCAGACATGCACAGCAGAGACTCGAAGACCAGCTGGCTGGTGGGAGGCGGGGCATCCCAACACTGGCAGCGCAGCAAGAGGTAAGATCTTTTTCTTTCATGGGCTTCTGTTTCGTTGTTTGCAGGGAAACAGAAACTCACAAAAGAAACGCCACGGAGATCTGACTTGGGGTGACGGTGCACTTGCCAGCAGAGAGGGCTCAGTGTGCCACCTCTGGCATGCGTGCCATAGGTTCGCCATCACAGTCTTAAACTATTTTTATGCAGAAATCAAAAATGTTGTACATGAGTAAAATAAACAGTATAGCAATGTAAACATAACAGATACTCTTATGAATAGTCCATCGAAAAGTGTTGGAATTGACCGCAGATGCTAACTGTACATACACGCTAAAATTTATTGTTTTTCAATGTGCAGAACAGATCCCAATGTTGCATATGCAAACAAAAAAAATTCAGCTGTTTTATCAAAAGCCTGTTCCTTTTTCTATTCCTATTTCAGCAACACATTTTTTGAAGTTAAGTCTATATCAAACCAGGTATGGAAGTTTCAGAGATATCAGCTTATTATGACCTTCCATGAAAGACCAGTCTTACCCCCTCCGCTAATCATCTTCAGTCACATGACCATGATATTTCAGCACATATGCTGTAGATGGCGGAAACACGACAGCGATCCAGATGAAGCAGACTATGGGCTCAGTAAGTATTATAGGATTTGTGCAGAATTACTTGGACAAAGCCATCATGCTTCATGAGGGCACTGGCATCACTTAGATACAGGACCACCCATGAGCAAACAGCAATTTCAGCTGAGGAATACACAACTGGGAGGTATGTGTGGTTTTGTAGTACAGCAGCCTTTGGGATACTGTACATTTGGAACCATTCCTTAATCATAGCCTGCAAAGTGAGTTTTAGAAATCTAAGGCTGAAAGCAAATCTGTAGGAAGCTGCATCCATCCATCCATCATACAATTACCTTTGAAGCAGCAGTGAAATCTGGCCGGATCTATCTGGCTCATGTGAACCGGTAGCGCCAGTAGCGGGAGGCTCTGCCCACCGCCAAGACATCATTACGTTTCATTTTTGACTCTCTGTGCATGCGCAGAAGGCTCTGCACATGTGCAGAAGAGGCGCGCACATAGCCCGCTCCCGTTCCCGAACCAGTAGCAAAAGTAAGTGGATTTCACCGCTGCTTGAAGGTAAGCAACATTCTGCAAAGGATAGAAAAAAAGTAAGGCATAGAAGCAGAAGAAATTAAAAGCAAGAGATAAAAGGAAGAAGGATACTTAATTAAGTCTCATTTCCACTATTGTTCACTACACTTTTCCATATCTTTATATTCTTACAAAGTATGGTCGCAGCATCCACTAATAAATTATTACATTGTCTTTTGTTATTTAAAATTCTTACCTTTGTCCTTTTGAGGAATCATCAATTCCATCCAGTCTCATCAGTTTTCTTCTTCTTCTCAATACTTTTCTTTTATATCATCATTTTGCAATTTTTTCATTCTCTCTATGTGGCCAAATTGTTTGGATTCTTGACTAACAGTATAAGTTAGTCAGTATATAATTCACCTGCATTGAAAGTACACAAACAGTCATGACCCCAGTCAATATATTTCTAATGTAACCACACCTTTCCATATGTATTTATCCATAAATACTTTAAACAATGTAAGGAGCATCATGTATACTTGTTTTAGCTTGGATTAGACCTGTTTATCATAAGCTTTGTATATGAACAAATATACAATAAACTTCTCACATTTCCAGTTTTCTTAATGTTCTGTACACCTCTTGACCAATATAAAACCACGCTGCCCTAAACCAATTTTGCTCATTGCTTCCTTATATTCTCTCAATCAGATTCTGTCACTTTTTCAAGTATCCTTAACAAATTAATTCTTAAATTATTTTTGCATTCACTTTTGCTACATTTTCCTATGCATTTCCTATGAGAATAAAAACATATCAAATATGAAGCATAGAAGCTCTTTTCGCACATACCCATTTACACTGCATACCTACTTAATAAGCAAATTGCATCCATATTTTAGCATTTCTGTTGTTATATGTATGCAGTGCTATCATTTTTCACACCGTTTGTGATTTCCTTTTCATCAGTTATTTCTTAAAACAGTCGTTTCAGCTTTAATTAATATTGCTGTACAAATCTCTCAAATAGCATTCCCTCACTCCAGTTTTACCTCAAAAGATTTCATCACTTTTGATTATATTTAATTTCATAGTTTGATAGACAAAATATGTATCAAGACCTAACTCACCTATTATCAGCTTTGTGGTGTTTTTCACTGAAGAAGACTGGGATTGAAGCCCATATTTTATGTATATAAAGCATGTGCATAGTTGGCTAAAGTCAGAGTAAAACAGGTTGCAATTCTCAGTCCAAATATAATTTCCAAAAAATGTTCAAGACATAGAATGAATTAATAATATTTCCTTGGCATGAGCACCTAACTGGTCTCTAGGTATTATAAAAGGGATGATTTTCTTTAGGCTCATGCCCAAACTTTGAAATTTCTTATTTTCCTAGTTTGGCCTGCCTTCAGGTTTTGTTTTGTTTTTGTTTTCTGTCTTTTGTCATTATGCAAAATCATTTCTATTTTTGCCCATGTTTTCTAATTTGATGAAAATGTTGCTTTAAAAATTTCTCAGACATTGTATCTTTATCTGTGTTCTATACTTACAACTAATTAGTTATTGACTGCTGATTATTGCCTTGTATGTGTCCTATAGAACTTTTTATAACAGATGATGAACTGAAGAAGGTTCATGATTTTGAAGAACAGTGCATAGAAGAATATTTCAGAGAGAAAGACGATAGATTTAATTCTTCCAATGATGAGAGAATCCGTGTAACTTCTGAAAGGTGCACAATATTTTGTTTGGCTTTGTAACTATTGTATGTTTTGAAAATTGTAATCGTAGAATTTTTCATTTTGTTGTTTTAAAACAAAAAGTGGTTTTAAAGTTTCATAATATTTTATTGGCTGCAAACTAATAGTAATCAAAAGATGATAAAACTATTTTGGAATTGTCATAAAAATGGCATTTATACAGAAACCCCACACACACAAAAATTAAGCATATTTCCAAGTAAAAATCCTTGGTTTAGATTACTTGGTTAAATCTGGATAAAATAGAGACCTCAATCATCAGTAGAATATAAAGTCTAAAAAATAACTAGAATACAAAAATATAGGTTTAGTTGCTATGTGTCAAGTCTTTCTTTATCCTATTATCAAATTGGGGGAGGTGAGAACAAGCATGAAATACATGGGAGGAAAGGGCTGTTTCTGATTCCAGTGCAAGTGATAGCCAAATCTCCTCCCCTTATGTATGGCAGAATCCTTCAGGGGGGAAAAAGATCTCTGCAACGCCAAAATTTGTTACATTAGTGCTACAAGCTCTACATCAAGCAAGCATCTGATTGGGCCTTTGATCTTATCCAACTCTAGTATTTCCTACGCATAGCCCACTTTTTTCTCTTTCTTCTCTTCTTGGTAAATTGGAAATCATCCCTGAATCTCAGAGTCATTTTTTGGGTAGAACATTGGGTTATGTGAAGTTTGCTTTTATAAATAGAAGCCATAATGCAAATTGAGGTCTTATTTCATAGTCTCTTAAAAAGGTAAAGGTTCCCCTGCACATGCATGCTAGTCGTTTCTGGCTCTAGGGGCAGTGCTCATCTCCGTTTCTAAGGTGAAGAGCCAGCATTGTCCGAAGACATCTCCGTGGTCATGTGGCCGGCATGACTAAACACCGAAGGTACACAGAGCGCTGTTATCTTCCCACCAAAGTGGTCCCCATTTTTCTTCTTGCATTTTTTTACATGCTTTCGAACAGCTAAGTTGGTTCAAGTAACGGGAGCTCACTCTGTTACACGGCGTTAGGGATTTGAACTGCCGACCTTCTGATTGACAAGCTTGGCGTCTTAGCCACTGAGCCACCACATCCCTCATAGTTTCTTAGTTTCTTAGAGCCAGGCAAGAGAATTGTTGGTGTAAACCTAGAGAAAAAGTGTAGAAAAGTTAATAAAGCATACATTTAATTGTATGTAAAATAATTACTTTGGAATATACTCGTAATATAACTGAAGGTTGAGGATATCATGACACTCTAAATTTATTTCTCCAGGGATCACTTGTTGCCATCATATTCATTTGACAAGAATTAGGCACTTTTCCAACTTCCTGGCAGCTTTCAAAATCTGTATAGCTGTGCAATTTTAGAGGTTTGATAAATCAATTACTACTTTCTATAGATTTGATCATTACTAAGGAGTTCACCACATAAAACCCACAAAATGGAAATATTTCTATACCAGAAATCAGTATTTTTGTCTTTGTGCATGTGAGCCTGCATTACATACAGTAGATCTGTAAATCTCACATTTACACATTTTAAATCTATAAATAATTTATATAGAACAGCTCTAAAAATCTATATTTTAAGATATGTAAATTTTTATTTTTTTTTTAAAAAAAGGACATCGGTACATCTCACAACTTTAATCAGGAGCAAAATGCAAATTCTTGTTTAAATATGTGTTGATAAAATCATTGAGGGGCAAGCAGTAAATGGATTTATCATTCCAGTTACCCATTAACCTATTTTTAATTGTTTATTTTTAAAAAGAGGATTAATTTTCTTAGTATGCATATCCTTATATTAATGGCATACCATTTACATTATTATCAATTTTCCTGATTAAGTAAACTGGTTTAGAAATAACCAAGCTAACCTGCTTGCCTTACTGAAGGTTACTGAAAAACATTTTTTCTCCTCTCTTTTCTCCCTGCAGAGTAGAGAATATGGCAATGCGATTAGAGGAAGTGAACGAACGAGAGCATTGCATGAAGGCCTCGCTTCAAACTGTCGATATACGGCTTGCTCAGCTGGAAGATATGATTGGGCGAATGGCCACAGCACTGGACAAAATTAGTGGCGTGGACAAAGGAGAGGCCAGTAAGATACGGTCTCGAACATCTTCTGACTGTACTGACACAGCTTACATTGTGAGGCAAAGTAGCTTCAACAGCCAGGAAGGGAACACATACAAACTTCAAGAGAGTATTGATCCCACAGGGGAAGAATCAATGTCCCCCACCTCTCCAACGTTAACACCTCGACTGCGAAGTCACTCCTTCTATGCGATGAATATGAAGGAGAAGGGTGGGCTTGAGAAATTTGAAACTATTTTGAAAGAACGGTCTCTGAGCCTTCATCGTGCCACTAGCTCTCACTCGGTCTCAAAAGAACCAAAAGTTTCATTAATGCCTGTAAGCACTTTGTCTATTGCTCCAGATTCTCGGAGGCCTTCCTCTTGCATTGATATTTATGTGTCTGCCATGGATGAGCTTCAGTCGGGAATAGAGCCCCTGGACAGTTCAATGAACATCCTTGGGACCAGAGACCCCACTCTTCAAGCTCAGATAACTTCCAGCGTTCTCTCGAGTAGTGCTTATGTCAGTGGTACCTCTGGGGATAGAATATCAGGCAGAAGTATTGAGTATGAAGAGCCTTCTTCATTGGAAACGAGGGTGTTTTCTTCAGATTATTCCCAAATCACAGACAGCCAAAACCCCTGGGAATTGGATCCCCCCCTATATCATACCTTAGAGCGTTCTAAAAGTAGTCGATACCTGGCTACAAGCCCCTTTATTTTAGAAGAGGCACCTATAGTAAAATCTCAAAGTTTTATGTTCTCTCCTTCCCGGAGTTATTTCAGCAGCCTCGGAGTGCCGGTCAAAACAGCAGAGTACACTAGCATTACCGACTGCATTGATACAAGGTGTGTCAGTGCTCCTCAAACCATTGCAGAAAGGTCAAGTTTTCCTGGGATCCATGGAGATAAGGTGGATGACTTGGGATGCTGCCATCCAGAGAGGGAAGCAGAACTAAGTCACCCAAGTTCTGACAATGAGGACACTGAAGCCAAAGACAAAAAAGCAGTTTCCTTGTCACCTCAAGATAGCAATACATCTAGGACCTTGTCTAACAATATTCTGCTTCCTAAAATAGAGCGGGCCAATAGTTATTCTGCAGATGAATCCAACTTACTCTACGTGCACACACGGAAAAGCTACTCCATCAGTGACAAACTTGATAGGCAGCGCAATGCGGCCAGCCTTCGAAGTACATTTCAGAGGAGCAAGTCATCCAAACCAGAAAGTACAGGAGACACCTTGTCAATGAGAAGACTCTCTAGAACAGGTGCATTCCGGAGCTTTGAGAGCAAATATTGCTAGAGATGACATCTGCTCTTTGGTCCTTCTCTTGAGCAGAATGAAGTAACCTCAGATTATGATGTGTCAGCAAAAAGCTGGCTTTTACCACCAGTCGAATTAGCCCTCTTTAATCTCCGTGCCAGCCACCGAGATTCTGCCTCTTGACCCAGTTGGCATTTGCACTTAATAGGGGGTGGGATGGGTGGGAGGGAAGATTTTAAAGACATTATTTTTTAAAAAAAGCTTTATGACATCGTGCATAAATGGGTAAATAGTTTGAGAAATCTGCCTTTCGAAATAGAAATAGATTTTTTTAAAAAAGAAGCAAAATAACATGCATCTAAAGTGGGTGTTTTAATTATGATTCTGTTGTTGTTTACATCAGTACATTTGTGATAACTTATGAAGCAGTATCTTTGAATAGAAGACAAACCTATCAATTCCCACTTTTCACTCTCATGGTTCACACGTCTTTTTTTGTACTGACAACTTGTAGTGCCACAAATGTTATATTTTCAAGAAGGGAAGTAAAAAGATGCCTTTTATATAGCAGCATGAGGGAAAGGGGGAAATTTATGTAATACATTATCATGTGGTTCCTGTATTAAACAGGCTTTTTCGCACAGCTGACCAAGCTCAGGAAGATTGTAATTAAGTGGAATAGTAAATACTTATTTTTGTAATTACATCTATTAGTTTAGAAAGAATTCCATGGAGCCTCCTTAAAATGTTACATGAGAGGATAAAAACAGTCCAGAGGCAACATCATATTCTTACTGTTCTGTACAACATTTCTATCTTTTTTTCCCCCCAAGAATTTGGATTTCATTGGGTATATTTGCATTTCATTGCTGTTCTAATTGTTCTATCATTTATTGCTGGAGGTATTGAATAGTGATCTTCTCTGAAAATATTAAAGGATTGAGAGGTTAGTTAGCCTAAGTGAAATTAAGACTTTGGATTGTTTCAAAAGCCATTCTTTTAAGTATGCTTCCATTGTCTAGAATGGCAAAGAGAAGATTTTATACCATGTAAGAATGGAATGTGAAAGTCTCATTGTCGACTCCTCAATAATGTTTCCAATAACCCTCCTGGATGCAAGAATTAAGCATGGCTCCTAGAGGATAATAGGCAGATGGCATAGTTATAGAGTTTCAATGTATGCATCGCTCTCTCACATCAGTGATATTTTAGAAAACATTTTAAAAATTATTTTGAGTTGGCTGTCCAAATTCCTTTTTTCAATTTTAAGCATTCAGACTAAATCTATGTGTGAAAGCAGTCTTCCAAACCACCCTAGAGAACGGATACTCTCCTTTGTTTTGAGTTACGGCTCCTGTTAACCCCACAAAGCTTGGCAAGGATCAAGGATTGTGGAAGTTCTGCAGATCTTTGGAAGGTTCCAAAATAAGCACAGAACTCTGAGAGTTTCCAAAGTCCTAATTCATCTGATAGTTGCGGGGGGGCAACACACAGCCACAGATCTTTTTGAACTCAGCTGTGCATTGATTTCAGTTATAAAATGTAATGCAAATTGCCCCGCTCAATTGACTTTCATGCTACTCTCCATCTCCCTTATTATCTCAGCTATTATTCTATAATTTGCCAAGATGTTTTTAGTATGTGCTTTTCCATGAGAATAATTTATCAAAGATCAAAACATATGCCAACATATCTGGATAGATGGCAAGCAGGATACACTGATTATTAGGTTTATTTCCTAAACTGCTTCTAAGGCCCAACTTTAATCCAGTAGTTGTAAATAACTGCACATTGCACATTTTTATTAGAGCTTTGATAGGTGTGATGTGTGTGTGTGTGTGTGTGTGTTAGAAAAAACTTTTCTACAGCAAAGAAATATGATGTGGAAGTAGCTGTTTTAGTCATTGGCCATTTCAAACATGTCTCCTATCTCATATGGGATTTCAGATTTTCCATGCACAAAATGGTGTCTAAGAAGGGTTTCTTTTTAATTTACTACTAATGCCTTTTTTCATACAATCACAATCATTCCAGATTTCATGAGATATGAAATAACCTTGTATAATTTTAAATAGGGTCTCAATTCATTCAAACAATATTTCAATGACCTCAGATGAAACAGACCTATTTTAAATAAGTCAAAATGTATTACCATTCTTGCTCCTTTCTGCTTTGGACATAAACCCAGACTAGATCAACGTTATTCTCTTAAACTACTGAATTATTCAATTTCATTTGAGCTGACTGTGTGAAAGAACTCCTAAATGGATTCATAAAAACAATTCAAATCACCCTTTGGATTTTCCTGTTTGCCTTCAATGACAATGTCCTGACCTATGGTAATGATAATAAATGGGCCCTAGCTTGAAAACAAATTGACAAATAGGACTCCTGGTATCCCTATTCCTAGTGTGACAAAAGCCAAATTCTGGCAGAGTGCCAGCATTTATACCTTTTAATGCAAAAAATAGCCGTTTCTACCAAAGCACAATCTTAAGGTTCACTTCTACATGCTTCCTGGGAATGGAACCTATTTTGAAATACTTGCAAACTTGTAAACAAATGCAAAGGCATCTATTGTGGCTTTTGTTAAGAAAAGTGTATTCGAATGTGCATTTTTCATAAATTACCATAGATGTTCTGCTGTTAAAATCACAGAAAAAGAAACATTGTTTAGTACTACGTTTTTTTTAAAGTTACTATTAAAATATTCCTTAATGTCTATGGAGATTCTCAGTCATCCCGGTTTTCCCAAAGGTGCTTTTAACAAGAGGCAAATAAAAGTTGCCTCTTGGAAAAAAGCACCTTTAGGATAAAATATTCCTTGCACACAGGAACAAGAAGGCAGGATCCACAGCATCATTGGAATTACAAAGAATCATTCTTAGGAAGTATACCTATTTTAAAACCATATCTCATTGAACTTTACAGCTTATACATATGATAAAAAGTGTATTCTTTGTATAATTTATAAAGCATACTTTAGCATTCCACTTTAGTCACCAGGACTGATCATGGATATTATGTCATTTACCCTCTTATCTTCTGTATTGAAAAAGTATATACAGGATCAGTTAATAGTTCAGAATATATTTTCTGTTAAGATATTCATAAATTGAGATGCTGTATGGAACTTAGAATACAGCATTATTAAACTAGAGGTCGCACTCTACAGGAAAAATTGGAAATATTTCCATTAGCTATCAAACAGCAATAATTGAACAGCAAAATGCTCATTTCTGCATAGTTGATGCTGCTAACTCAAGAATAAGTAAGCAAATGAAGCATTTTCCTGCTAAAATAAGCAACTTTTCTAGAGTATGGAAACAGATGTACCCTTATTTTCATTTTTTTAAAAGATTGTATTTATATCAAGATAAATGCATTACATTGAAGCTAGTAATATGAATGTTCCCATTTTCTCTAAAAACCATGATGGCTCTTTTGATACTCACTTGAATACTTCCTGTGTTTAAGAATGTGCTCTGGATACCTGTTTTTAGAATCCTGCTCTGGATACCTGTTTTTACAATCCTGTATATATGCTATATTAGCCCCTAAAGTAGAAGCAACAAATTATATAACGTTTTAATTCATAACCTAAAATGTTATGTATAAAATATAAAATTACTAACCTGCATAGCCATGGAATAGGAAAGACAAAATTTCAAGATGAATTCAATTCAACATAGTGTATTTACTTTTATGCCATCATAATAATATCTGGATAAATGCTAATCAAGCATTCAGAATAACAAGAGGGCTACATTTACAAACTGAACAAGAGACACCAGAATAATCCATTTTTTTTTTTTTTTACATAATGGTATGTTAGATCAACTTTTGGGTCTATCACTGTATCAGGGAGGACAACCTTTAGCGAGTCAAAGGCCACTCTTAACATTGGAGAGGTGGGCTTTGAAAGCCACAACATACACAGGGGCCAGATCTGGGTTTAGGGAGTGACATTTTGGGATTTCCCTTCATTTTCTTTTAAAAATGTTTTCCATTGTGTTGTCCTTAATTTAGGCCTCCCACAACAGTTTACATATGTTTCTTACCTGAAACTCTGCTGTGGGTTTGTAGCAATCATGTACCAAAAAAAAAAAAAAAAGCTATGTGAGGCCCTGAAGTTAAAGGCTGCCCACCACTGCAGTGTAAAGTCATTTCTTTATACAGCAATATACAGTACAATGTTCGATAATAGGAAATAAAGTCCACTGAACAATATGGTCTGCTACCTAGCTTTCCAAGTATTAGCACTTATTGGGCAAGGAATCAGGTTTATCGTCATTGCTATTAGGCTTCCATTTATTTATTTATTGGCAGAGCTCCACTATCAATTCTGGCATAGCGTTTTTAGCCTGAATCTTGCAGATGTGTTGGGACTTTCTGACTGGGATTCTTGGGGGTTAGCATCCCAAAACATCTGTAGGGTGTCAGGTTAGAGAAGGCTAGCCATTGAGCTGGCATATATCCCTAATGAGCCACCAATAGCTGTGATACATGCATTATGAGAATGTGAAAGAATCAACCTAGGGAGTTATGCAAAAGGTAAAAAGAATAACCTCTTTAAAGTAATATTTAAAACTCTGTTGAGTTAGCTGTTTGTTTACATATGCTGTGCAATTGAGGAAGCAGTGTACAGTATTTTAAAAATTTCTTCTAGTGATCCATTCTGTTATTTCCGGTTCAAGTGACGCTGTTCTATAGTTGGATATATCACCTGTCCTAGGTAGTGAATTATAGCACATAATTCTTTCACAATAATAATGTGATAATGATTGAAATAATTTCTTCTTCCTTAAACTACAGTCTTATTTTGTGCCTATGAAAATGCATGCATTGTTCCATTAATTCCTTTTGGACTATTATGGGGTTCAACATTTCAATATTGCCTGCCTGTAACAATGAATCGAGTTAGAATGAAATAACAATTTTGGACTTTTACATTCTCTCCCAATATGTTCATTTTAATGAAACTGATTTTAATAGCACTTTAGTATTATATAAAATGACTTATAGAACAGTAGGGTCTTAAACCTACAGCATTTATGATTGAAATAATTATATATTTTGGAAACAAGGTACTTCATTGTTTGTTTTAGCATATGCCTGTTATCAAGTAGCGACAAGCAGCAAATTATTGAAATTGTAACAATTGCCAGTAATAAAATAAAACCCATAAATCCATAACACAAAATC